TTGATGCTTTTGAACTGTGGTGTTGGAGAAGACTCTTGAGAGTCCCTTGGACTGCAAGGAGATCCAACCAGTCCATCCTAAAGGAGATCAGTCTTGGGTATTCATTGGAAGGACTGATGTTGAAGCTGAAACTCCAATACTTTGGCCACCTGATGCAAAGAACTGACTCATTTGAAAAGACCCTGATGCTGGGAAAGATTGAAGGCAGGAGAAGGTGATGACAGAGAATGAGATGGTTGACATGAGATTGGGTAAACTCCAGGAGGTGGTGATGAAGGGGGAGGTCTGGCGTGCTACACTCTATGGGGTCACAAAGAGTTGGACACGACTGAGTGACTGAACTGAACTGAAATTCCATAATCTAGAACATTATCAAGAAGATTTAGTGACACTCCTTGTAACTTGTTCATAGCAGCATCTCAGAGAACTTCTTTTCATTTCTCCCTCTCGTTTTCTACCCACTTCCACTTCTCCCTTCCTCCTGAGATCACAAGAACTAGGAGGTTGAGGGAAGGGTCCAGGACACAGAAGTATATAAACATCAGCATGCAAAATTTTTTGGTTTTGGACTCGTACAAAGTAGGTGCTTAATACTGCTGAGTAAATAAACATAAAGAAGTGTCTAGACAAGGGTAAATCTCCTCAGTATAGGACCAAAAAATATTTTAAGCTTTGGGAGCCACAGTCTGTCACAACTACTCAACTCAGCTGCTGTGGCATCAAAGTACCCACAGGTGATGTGTAAACAAATACAAATGGCTATGTTCCAGTAGAATTATTTACAAAAAGATGTGGTAGGCCAGATTTGGCCCTTAGACAGTAGTCTGCAAAACCATGGTAAACTAAGATTAATATAGAATTAGGCACTGTTCTGGATTTTTAAAATCATACAATCTAATTTCATTTTACTTATTCCTCACATTAACTCTGACTGCCAAGTAGATACTATCCCCATCAGAAAACTAAAGAGCAAAAGTTTTGTACTTTACCTTAATTTCATAGTTTTTGAAGAAGACATTGGCCTTAAAGTAATAGATAGCTTCATCCACAATATCTGTATCTTTTGCTAAGCAGGGCAGGATGGGAGAAAGGCAGAGGATGTTAGCCAAATGTAAAATACAACATTTAAAAAGCAATAAAAAAAAAAAAAGCTCAACAGTCAAGGGCTTTGGAATTGAATAACATAGAATCAGGCTACTGAAACAAAGTCTTTAGAAAAAATTTCTAGAAAAATAAGCACATGGTTTATTCAGACAGCTTTATTGTCTTTATAAAAATTATACATGCTCATTATAGAAACAAATGAATCAATAAAGGAAAAAAAAAGTAATTTGTCACCCTAATCTCACTACCCAGAAATAACTAGTCTCAGCATTTGGTGAACATCACTCCAGACATTTCTCAGTGCATTTACAAAAACAGACTGAGACACAGACTAAATTTAATAAATTGCTTTCTTAAAAATATTTGGATGGCGAAAAGGTTCCTTCGGGTTTTTCCAAAAGATGTTACAGAAAACCCCAACGAACTTTTTGGCCAACCCAATACAAAGAATTCCATACAATTTTATTTGAACTTACATACTATAGCTTTAGGGGAAAAAACTCTCAGCTGTTCATTTAGGAACATACTGGGATTCACACATACATCTTCCTTTTTACAAAAACTGTGACTTCAAATATGTACAATCTGTTCAAGGTGGCTAGAGACTGAGAAAAACCAGAAGTACTGTTGTAACAAAGACAGATCTCATTACAAAATTTCTTTGGCTTTTTTTGGGTTTTCCTTTTTTTATTTTAAAAAGGTCACAGTCCCAGGGTCTTGATATCCGGCAGCCGGTTTTAGCAATGCAGAAACAGTTATTTTTATTTCGCAACCCTAACTGCTATCCCTCTCACACAGCAGAAATGCAGAAGCTTTCATACTCTAATCCAGTTGTCTTTATCTTTGCCCATTCCCTTGCTGGAGAATTTTAACAGAACTTTTTTTTTCCCTCCTTTAAAAAAAATTTTTTTGGACATGTGGGATCTTAGTTCCCCATCCAAGGGTCGAACCCACACCCCCTATAGTGAAAGCGTGCATCTTAACCAGTGGACCACCACAGAAGTCCCGAACAGAATTCTAACTCTAGACTTATGTTCCCTATGATCTATTCTCTTATTTGCAAAAAAGAAACTTCCTTCTATGATCCCACAGTGCTTACAAAAGCCGGCTAGCTCTAGTGTCATGTTGCAGAGGAAGGGAAAAGAGGCTAGCTGATAGGATTCAGGCTAGCTGATAGGATTCAGAACATAGAAGAGCATTTGGCATATATAAGGTGTTCAAAAGATATCTGTTGAATGTAAATAACTTAGATTAATGCTAACAGTTACTTAGTCCATAGCACAGGCTTAGATTTCTCCATAATTCCAATTCAGTCCTATTCCAGCCCCCTAGGGAAGAGTAACAAGTCACTCTTAACTATAGAAATCATGAAGTTCCAGTTTCCTGCAGTCCCAATCTCTCTCAAGGGCCCAAGAATTGCAAAGGTGGTAATTAAATTTACTTCATCCTTGGTCAATAATATCTTCTGATATACTATATGGTATTTTGTCACAATCTGGGAAGTAATCTGATCAAACACTGATTCTTATTCTTCCTCTGCAAAAGAATAATGTCATTCTTTTACATTATTTTTCCTGTTTTGGTGGCTTTTTTTTCCCATCTCAGAACAAGAGTATGGTGACTCACTAAATTTATTAAGTTTACTGAGCTTTAAACTGGTATTGAAAATAAAACTAAATTAAGAGGAAGTCAAGTCAAATAAACTGGCCAGAAGAATGGAGACAGGGTCAGTACAAAATTAGTAATCTAAACTATGGTCTTGGAAACCACAAATGGAACTCAGTGCAGACCCTTCCTGGGTGCAGAGAAACCACGTCTAACATAATATAAATTGCACTGTTGGCAGAACATCAACATCTCAGAATGTCGTCAGAAGAGTCTCAGATAGTATCTGAAAAGAATGAGGCATTCTGAACAGAGAAAAAAAAAGCTCCAAAAAATAAAAAAAAAAAAAGAAAGAGGTTAAAACACTTTGTTTTTTCCAGCTTGATGACAGAGAAAGGATGGGGACACGGTGTTCTACAGAAGCAGCAGCATTAGATTTTTAAGAACTGACAGTGATGATAGGGAGACTGTTGAGAATTAAGCACATTGCCTCCTCCCTCTCAACAAAATATCCCAGAGAAACTGGCAGCAATAATAGTTTCTTTTTTTTTTACAGTTTCTTATTAAATGCAACATCTACGCAAGATTTGAGAAGGTAGAAAGCACAATATCCATCAAGCAAATAGAAAATACAAGAGCAATCTGAGAAAGTATTTCCCTGATGTGCTAACATCAGAGGGTTTCATACCAAAATGTGAAAATAATGGAAAGGGGTTTTGACTTACTCTCTCTAGGGGCAGGTCCTTTGAACTGACTTCTGATAGGCAATAGTGCCATGTTTCCAATGAGTTTGGTGTCAGGGTCCATGAGGGAAGAGTGGTAAGCCTGTAGGGACAAGCCAGGTAAGAACACAGAAGCAGAAAGAGAGCAAATGTCACTGGGGCAAACAAGTCCTTTTTCCTAAAGGAAAAAAAAGAATAACTAATCCAAGATAAACTGGCTCATGAAAACTATCAAAGTTTGAGGAATTCTGAGAAAATCTGAGGCAAGCTGATTGTTGAACACAGCCATTATTAAAAATAAAATTATATAAATTTTCAATTAAATAAATTATATTAAAAACAAAGGTAATAAATATTTGACACTTTCATTATTTCCTTTTTTAAAATTATTTTACCAATATCTGTGATCTTAAGGTTAGTTATGTCTTTTGTACCTACAGTGGAAAGACTATATGATAACATGCTACTGTGCTTCCCTACCAATTTCACATTTGGTGACAGCACATTGGTAACTGGTGGGGTATTCACACTATAGAAATAGGCAAACACTATATAAATCAGAGGTACCCAGTAACCCAGCTGTTGTTAAAACCACAATCCAAGCACTGGCTCTTCAGCTCTGCCACTTCCTGGCTTTATACCTTTTGACCAAGCCATCACTTTTCTTCTCTTAGCCTATTTCCACATTTGTAAAATAAAAACATATATACTTGTTTTCAGTGGGTGGATATGAGTTAGAGGAGGGAGAAAAAAAATCACATTTATGAGAACAATTTATAAGCCAATTTCTAGTTCGGTATTTTACAAGATGTCTGGCTTTTTGTAAGACAACATGGGCCCCAGTCATTTATTCATTCATTCATCAAAAGATTACTAAGTACCTTCTGTGTGCAAGGCATGTGGATATACTGGCATGCAAGACCAGCCCTGGCTCTGTCAGGTGAATAGAGGAGACAGATAATAAGGAAGTCATCACAGGGGAAGTCAAGGGTGCTCTTTGTGCACCTGGAATGATGAGCACAAGGCGTCAGGGTTCTGGCTTAAAATCTGGCTTTATCAAGATTTACTAGTGTGCTTATGTATTTAAGGGCTTCCGAGTGGTTCAAATGGTAAAGAATCTGCCTGCAAAGCAGGAGACTTGGGTTCAATCCCTGGGTCAGGAAGATCCCCTGGAGGAGGAAATGGCAACCCACTCCATTATTCTTGGCTAGAGGAGGAGCCCAGGATTTTTGCCTAGGACAGAGGAGCTTAGTAGGACCCATGGGATCCCAGAGAGTCGGACTCGACTGAGTGACTAACTTTCACTTTATGTGAAAATGGATTTAAAATGGATAACCAACAAGGACCTACTGTACAGCACATGGAACTCTACCCATTGTATGTGGCAGCATGGATGGGAGGGGAGTGTGGGGAAGAACAGATACATGTATATGTATGGCTGAGTCCCTTTGCTGATCACCTTAAACTATCACAACATTGTTAATCTACTACACCCCAATACAAACACACAACACACGCACACACTAGTGTGCAACTTTGGGCAAGTTACTTAACTTCTCTGAGCATCAACTTCCTCCTCTGCAAAATGAAAAACCACTAACATATCTACTTCATAATCACTCTGAGGATTAATTAGGGAATAATTTATACAAACTGTAGCTCAGAGCTGGCCTGACATGCATCAGGAGTCAAATGGTAGCTGTGGGATTTACGAAATATATAACTATGGTTTGCTCCTTTTTTATTACAGATACGCTTTATCTAACGCAGCCCCTATCCTCCCCTGCACTAGCTATATTGTCTTGTTACCCACTTATTACCTTCATGACATTTGTCACTATCTGAAACAATCCCCCTTATTTTATTTACATTTACAGATTTATTATGTCTCCTCATTAGAATGTAAACTCCTTAAGAATAGGGATTTGTTGGCCTTATTCACTGCTATAATAGTGCTTTGGCATGCAGCAGATGCTAAACATCACATGTTACTGAACATGCTTTTTCCTCATCTGCAAAATGGAGACCATGATGGTGATAAATCTACCCCTGTGGCTGTCAGAAATTAAGAACAACAAAACCACCATCAATTTTAACTCCTACTCTGATGCACATGAAAACAAACATTTGGAAACTAGGCGCGGACCTTGCATCTGCTCTGAGAGCCCTAAACCCAGCGGCTCTATGCTTTTTCCTCATCTGCAAAATGGAGACCATGATGGTGATAAATCTACCCCTGTGGCTGTCAGAAATTAAGAACAACATAACCACCATCAATTTTAACTCCTACTCTGATGCATATGAAAACAAACATTTGGAAACTAGGCGCGGACCTTGCACCTGCTCTGAGAGCCCTAAACCCAGCGGCTCAGGTGTGGCAGCCACTGCCGGGGCGACAAGGGAGGAGTCCGGGAAGCGGGGTCGGACAGGCGACAGGCAGCATAAGGGACCCGCCTCCAGAGGCGAAGGAGGAAGTGGGCCTACAGGGGGAAAAAAAAAAAAAAGCAGGGCCCTAGCTGAGATATGAGAAATTAGAAGGGCAGCCCTTGCCTTCGCGGCTCTAGTGAGGCTTTGGGAACCCCGCTGGAATCGGGGGGAAGGGGAGAGGCACAAAAAGCGATAAAAAGGATCAAGCTTGGAGAGGAGAGATCAGAAGACTTGAGGCGGTCTCCTCAGCAGGCCCCGGGTCTCTAGCCAACTCTGCCATGCGCTGTTCCTCCATGGCCGGCCGACACCCCCGGGCCGCCCTAATCCCACAGAGGCCGGCCCCTCTCCTCTTGCCTTTCCTCTTCTCAGGCCCCTGCTTTCTCTCTGCCCTCCTCGGCCCACTTTTCTCAGCGCACGCAAGACTTCTCGCGACTCTCTCAAATCCCCGCCGTCTCCCGACACCCCCAACTTGGCCCCTTTACCGGCATCTTGGAGGCGCCCGGGTCTCTACCCCAACGAAGAGAATCTGGTTAGCGCTCGGCGGTTCCGGTCTGGCAGCCGGGGCGGGGTAGGCGGAAGTGAGCCGGAAGGGGAGGGCGAGGGCAGGACGCCGCGCTTCCGGCCTTGCAGTTTGTGGCTAGCCGCCGCAGCTGCGCGGATCCGACAGGGCACCAGGGGGCGCTCGAGCCCTAAGCAGGGGCTCTAAGTATCGCGCCTGCGTCAAGTGTGGGCGAGAATGAGGTTGATTTCGGGGTTACAGGACATAGATAAATCACCTCTTTTGTTTTTTCTCAAAGATCACCTTTTCAGTGTAGCATTCCCTGGGTAATCCTAAATTCAGTCCAACTTCACTCCCCTTTCCCTCAGTTCTTATGATTCTTTTATGTTTTACTTTTGGATTTTGTCTCCCTACATTCGTATGAACGTCAAAAATGCAAGGATTGTCTATTTTGTTCACTGCTTATATCCCTATGCCTGTAACAGGATGGTACATGGTAAGCATCAATAATATGTGTTGAGTGAAAGAATGAACTCAATCCACTGATTTTAAAAAGGAAAAAACGATCACAGAAGAGATTTGTGTATTTGTGCATTACTGTTGTGTGATTACATACTGCGATTCTTTGTGTAACGGTTGAAAAACAGACTCTGGGTTTGAATCCAGCTCCAACATTTATTGGCTGTGTCACTTTGGGCAAGTTAACCTCCATACCTCAGTTTCCTCATCTGAAAATGGAGATAACAGTGATTACCTCAGTTTTGTGAGGATGAAATGAATTGTATGGAATGCGCTTAGAACTTATGCCTGGAACATACTAAAAGCTAAGGAATTCTTAACCTTTACTGGAAAGCACCTCAAGTTAAAAGCCAAGTTCACTGCTGCTTCTGGCCATTTCTTTTGCCAGTCCCACAGAATGAATTTCTTTGTCCCATGTTCCCACAACTGATCTCTCATTTATATTTCTGGCCAAATTGCGCCTTTTAGGAGACTTCCTTGGTGGTCTAAGATGGTAAACATAGTCTTCCCTGGTGACTCAGATGGTAAAGAATCTGCCTGCAATGCAGGAGACCCAGGTTCAAGGTTCTCCAGGGAAGAACCCCTGGGCATGGGAACCCACTCCAGTATTCTTGCTTGGAGAATTCCATGGACAGCAGAGCCTGGTGGGCTACAATTCATGGAGTCACAGAGTTGGACACGACTGAGTGACTAACACACAAGAGGAGGCTTCTTTGATGGGAGCAAAGTAGCCCCACAATCACTCTCCTTTTCCTTTTTTTTCTTCTTCACATTCCTTATTAGAGACTTCCTTGTTTATAATAAGTCTTAAGGGCCCAGCAGATCAGCTCGATGAGACTAAGGTCCTTTTTGGCCTCCGCATTCCTCTTCTTTCAGTACCTGGCACCTACTCATAAATTTGTCCGAAGAATCATGTCAGGCTCTCCTACAAAGCAGTGAAATCTTTCAGGACTGGAATTGTCATATTCATCTTTTAAACCCCCGTGTCCAGAGGGGAAGGAAATGAAATCTGGCTGTTCACTTTTCCCCACAGGACACGCCAAACTCTCCGCAGGCTGAATGAGGGAGCTATGGCGCAAGCAGGATGAGGGCAAATGAAAAGCTGTCTTATCTTTCCTCCTCTCACACGGCAGTGGCATTTCTAAAATCTAGCAACACTGACAGATCAGGGTGTTTTTGCCCTTTGCATACTCAAGGGCCATAGAAAAAAGAAAACGCAAGTTCCAGGAAAACATCTACTTCTGCTTTATTGAGTATGCCAAAACCTTTGACTGTGTGGATCACAACAAACTGTGGAAAATTCTTCAAGAGATGGGAACACCAGACCACCTGACCTGCCTCCNGGTCAGGAAGCAACAGTTAGAACTGGACATGGGACAACAGACTGGTTCCAAATAGGAAAAGGAGTATGTCAAGGCTATATATTGTCACCTTGCTTATTTAACTTATATGCAGAGTACATCATGAGAAACACTGGACTGGATGAAGCACATGCTGGAATCAAGATTGCTAGGAGAAATATCAATAACCTCAGATATGCATATGACACCACCCTTATGGCAGAAAGTGAAGAACTAAAGAGCCTCTTGATGAAAGAGAAAATGGAGAGCGAAAAATTTGGCTTAAAGCTCAACATTCAGAAAACTAAGATCATGGCATCTGGTCCTATCACTTCATGGCAAATAGATGGGAAAATAGTGGAAACAGTGGCTGACTATTTTGGGGGGCTCCAAAATCACTGCAGATGGTGACTGCAGCCATGAAGGTAAACGACGCTTACTCCTTGGAAGGAAAGTTCTGACCAACCTAAACAGCATATTAAAAAGCAGAGACATTACTTTGCTAACAAAGGTCCATCTAGTCAAGGCTATGGTTTTTCCAATAGTCATGTATGGATGTGAGAGTTGGACTGTAAAGAAAGCTGAGCACCGAAGAATTGATGCTTTTGAACTGTGGTGTACGAGAAGACTCTTGAGAGTCCCTTTGACTGCAAGGAGATCCAACCAGTCCATCCTAAAGGAGATCAGTCCTAGGTGTTCTTTGGAGGGACTGATGTTGAAGCTGAAACACCAGTACTTTGGCCACCTGATGTGAAGAGCTGACTCATTTGAAAAGACCCTGATACTGGAAAAGATTGAGGGCAGAAGGAGAAGGGGAGGACAGAGGAATAGATGTTTGGATGGCATCACCGACTCCATGGATATGAGTTTGGGTAAACTCCAGGAGTTGGTGATGGACAGGCAGGCCTGGCATGCTACAGTCCTTGGGGTCGCGGAGAGTTGGACACAACTGAGCGACTGAACTGAACTGAAAGATAAAGCTGCTCAGCTAAAGATCCAGAAAATGAGAAACCATGGAAAGTTTTGAAGAAGGATGATGATTTGCTTAGAACTCTGTTTTAGAATGCTGCCCCTTGGGGCAGCATGAAGAATGGACTATGGAAAAAGTTTTCCTAGCTGAGATGTAACTAAAAATCTGATTTGTATGAAATGTGGAGAAAAAAAATGAAAACAGGTAGGCGAGGCATTTCAGGAGAAATCACAGAATCTTGGTAAATGACTATAAATACGGATGACAAGGGAACACAACTGCAAGGTAACTTAAAACTTTTGAATGGTTAGGTGAAAATTTTCTTTCAAATGTTACAACAAATAAGTAGCTTTCAATGCTAATTTCTTTGAGGGGAGTAGCAGGTCATTTTTCTTACAAAAAGAAAGTCTTTTTCCTCTCCTTTGCTGGCATCAATCTTGACTACTTTCATCCTGACCAATGGGTCACCATTATCTATCCCATGAAGTTGTAATCTGATCTGATAGAGTGCCTGAAGAACTATGGATGGAGGTTCATGACATTGTACAGGAGGCGGTGATCAAAACAATTCCCAAGAAAAAGAAATGCAATAAGGCAAAATGGTTGTCTGAGGAGGCATTATAAATAGCTGAGAAAAGAAGAGAAGTTAAAGGCAAAGGAGAAAAGGAAAGATATACCCATCTGAAAGCAGAGTTCCAAAGAATAGAAAAGAGAGATAAGAAAGGCTTCCTCAGTGATCAATGCAAAGAAATAGAGGAAAACAATAGACTGGGAAAGACTAAGAGATCTCTTCAAGAATATTAGAGATACCAAGGGAATATTTCATGCGAAGATGAGCACAATAAAGGACAGAAATGGCATGGACCTAACAGAAGAGATTAAGAAGAGGTGGCAAGAATACACAGAGGAACTATACAAAAAAGATCTTAATGACCCAGAGAACCACAGTGTTGTGATCACTCACCTAGAGCCAGACATCCTGGAATGCAAAGTCAAGTGGGCCTTAGGAAGCATCACTACAAATAAAGCTAGTGGAGGTGATGGGATTCCAGATGAGCTATTTCAAATCCTAAAAGATGATGCTGTGAAAGTGCTGCACTCAATATGCCAGCAAATTTGGAAAACTCAGCAGTGGCCACAGGACTGGAAAAGGTCAGTTTTCATTCCAATCCCAAAGAAAGGCAATGCCAAAGAATGCTCAAACTACTGCACAATTGCACTCATCTCACATGCCAGCAAAGTAATGTTCCAAAGTCTCCAAGCTAGGCTTCAAAAGTACATAAACTGGGAACTTCCAGATATTAAAGCTGGATTTAGAAAAAACAGAGGAACCAGAGATCAAGTTGCCAACATCTTTTAGATCATAGAAAAAGTAAGAGAATTCCAGAAAAACATCTACTTCTGCTTTATTGACTACACCAAAGCCTTTGACTGTGTGGATCACAACAAACTGTGGAAAACTCAAGAGATGGAAATACCAGACCACCTTACCTGCCTCCTGAGAAATCTGTATGCAAGTCAAGAAGAAACAGTTATGGGAAAGGAGTACGTCAAGGCTGTATATGGTCACCCTGCTTATTTAACTTATATGCAGAGTACATCATGAGAAACGCTGGGCTGGAAGAAGCACAAGCTGGAATCAAGATTGCCGGGAGAAATATCAATAACCTCAGATATGCAGATGACACCACCCTTATGGCAGAAAGTGAAGAAGAACTAAAGAGCCTCTTGATGAAAGTGAAAGAGGAGAGTGAAAAAGTTGGCTTAAAGCTCAACATTCAGAAAACTAAGATCATGGCATCTGGTCCCATCACTTCATGGCAAATAGATGGGGAAACAGTGGAAACAGTGGCTGACTTTATTTTTTTGGGCTCCAAAATCACTGCAGATGGTGATTGCAGCCATGAAATTAAAAGACGCTTGCTCTTTGGAAGAAAAGCTATGACCAACCTAGACAGCATATTAAAAAGCTAAGTCATTACTTTGCCAACAAAGGTCAAAGCTACGTTTTTCTAGTAGTAATGTATGGATGTGAGAGTTGGACCATAAAGAAAGCTGAGCGCTGGAGAATTGATGCTTTTGAACTGTGGTGTTGGAGAAGACTCCTGAGAGTCCCTTGGACTGCAAGGAGATCCAACCAATCAATCCTAAAGGGATTCAGTCCTGAATATTCATTGGAAGGACTGATGCTGAAGTTCAAGCTCCAGTACTGTGGAGTTCTTTGCACCTGATGCGAAGAACTGACTCCTTAGAAAAGACCCTGATGTTGGGAAAGGCAGGAGGAGAAGGGGACAACAGAGGATGAGATGGGTGGATGGCATCACGGACTCTATGGACATGAGTCGAGCAAGCTCCAGGAGTTGGTGATGGACAGGGAGCCCTGGCGTGCTGCAATTCATGTGGTTGCAAAGAGTCGGACACGACTGAGAGACTGAACTGAACTGAACTGAATCTGTTGCTGGCTTAGCAGGGTATATGGTTATGTCCCAGTCTGTTGTCTGTTCAGTAGCAGGGAGACCCAGAGAGGTAGAAATAAACACCTTTCTATTATGAGCCTCCACTGAAAAGGATTCTTTAAAATCTGGACCTCAAGCTTGTGGATCATCCAAGCTTCTTTGTTGTTTGTTTTGTTCTTTTAATCTATTAAATGCCTTGTATAAGCAAGGCGCTGCGCATGCTAATTAGAAGAAAAACAGGGGGGTCATTAAAAACTGCACCCCTGGGACTTCCCTGGCAGTTCAGTAGTTAAGACTTTGTGCTACCAATGCAGGGGGTGCAGTTCAATCCCTGGTTGGGGAACTAAGATCCTACATGCCGCATGATGCTGCCAAAAGATTGAAACAAACAAACCTGAGTTCCTGCGTTCATGGTGCTTAAAGTATAAGGTCCATGAAAGGATAACAGTAAAATTTACTCATCTTTAGAAGGTGAGTATAAAAATATGAGGTCCCTTGAGGATAATAAACCATTGACTCAAGTTTTAATATTATGCTGTTCAATTATTCATGCGTTTTCTCTTTTCTGCTATTCCAGATAAACATTGTAAGACACCCTAATTTTTGTCTCATATACTAATCAGCTTTGGTGAAATCTTGAGGAGCTACAGAATGCAGAGAATGTCCCAATAGGCATATGAAGCTTTCTTTTCACTAACCAACCCCATGCTGAGCTAAACTGTGCCTGCGGGGTATGCAGGCCTAATGGGACATGAGAGCCAATCCCACTCTCACACAGAAGGTAGAGTGAAGACTATGTCTCATTTCACTTCAGTTTGTATTCCTTTTTCAACTCATTCTTTCCATTTTCACACCTGTTGTTTAGGAAACCTGTGCACCCTTAGAAAATGCCACCATTCCAAGACCTAACTCATTAGCATGAGCAAGTTCAGATTCATTCTGTACTTCTTTAATGCTCAGGTCACATCCAGAGTGATGATCACTTTTGGGTACCATATTTTGTGTGTGTGTGTGGACTGTAGTCCACCAGGTTCCTCTGTCCATGGGATTCTCCAGGCAAGAATACTGGAGTGGGTTGCCATTTCCTGCTCCAGGGGATCTTCCCAACCCAGGGATCAACACTGTGTCTCTTGTACCCCCTGCATTGGCAGGCAGATTCTTTACCACTAGAAATATGCCGAAAAATAGTGACAATAGATAAGAGGCTTATGATCCAGTTTAAACAACAGGGTTCTAAGGATAGTCCACTTGGAAAAGACCCAAATAAATCAAGATAGCTGTCTTATAGTATCTGAAGAGCTAGTATGTAGCAAGAAACCACTTATTTTTACACTGCTCCAAAATATAGGATAGGATCCTACATTGTAGGAACATGTAACAAAGGAAAAGAATTAATGATTTTTTAAATAATTAATGATTTCAACAGTTTAAAAAAAAAAAAAAAAAATGTGCTTCTTCAATAAGTAGTGACCTCATCAGCCCTGGAAGAATATAACTATAGGCATACATAATTGGATTGGTTGGGGTTCTTCAGAGATAGAAAGATAGGGAATTGGCCCACACAATTATGAAAGCTAAGTCCTGCAATCTTGTCTGCAAGCTGGAAATTCAGGAGAGCCAATGGAGTAGTTCCAGCCCAAAGGCTGGTAGACTAGAAATCCAGGAAGAGCCTAGATCTCAGTTTGAGAGCAGAGATAGGAGAAAAACAATGTCTCGACTTGAAAGTAGTGAAGAGAATTCTCCCTTACTCATGGGGCGCAGGAGGAGAAGAGGAGAGTCTCTTTGTTCTGTTAAGACCTTCAACCGATTGGATGAGGTCCATCTATATTAGGGAGGGCAAACTGCTTTACACAGTCTACAGATTCAAATGTTGATCTCATCTAGAAACACCCTCAAAGATAGACCCAGAACAGTTTTACCAAATGTCTGGGCACTCAATGGTGCAGTCAAACTGACACAGTAAATTAACTATCACAATAACCATCTATCAAGAACACTGAAGAAAGAATTTCTAAATTACACAAAGATAGGGCAGTCAAAGGAAAAGAAGCATCTAGCAATATCCAATTTCTTTTTCTCAAATATCAGCATAAGGAAGTCAAAGTTCCTCCACCACTGATTCCTCTCATGATTACACTTCAGAGAATAGACTGTTTGCATATATGGCTTCTCCATATGTCGGGCTTCCCTCGGAGCTCAGTTGGTAAAGAATCTGCCTGCAGTGCAGGAAACCTGGGTTCAATTCCTGGGTAAGCAAGGTCCCCTGGAGAAGGAAATGACAACCCACTCCAGTATTCTTGCCTGGAGAATCTCATGGACAGAGGAGCCTGGCAGGCTACAGTCCCTGGGATCGCAAGAGTCGGATACTACTTAGCAACTAAACCACCACCACATATGCTAAACTTCGACTTGGGGGGGAAAAATAAATGTGTTCAGGAAGTTTGTACTAGGAATTCTAACAAAGCAATAGCACTTGTTTTATCTTACGGTGATAAATTAAAGATGGTCATAATTTTTTTGCTGCTGCTGCTATTAATAGACACAGTCTATTTCCCCTCCCCTTGAATCTGGACTAGCCTTGCTTTGACTCACAGAATATGGCAGAAATGATACTGTGCAGTTCCAGACCGAGGTCTTAGGAAGAACGGAGGTTTCTTCTTAGAGCTCTGACCCACCATGTGAAGAGTTCTAGCTATCCCTCACTAGAGAGACCACATCAAGAGAGAGAAATGCCCAGTGAGTCTTTGGCTGTTCCAGCCAACCCTACTAAAGCATCAGACATCGAAGGGAGGCCACACTGGACACTGCGTCCCAGTAGAGCTCCCAAATGAATGCAGTCACATGAAGAACACAGAAGTCACACTACACTGACACATGAGCTATGCTTGCCCAGCTCTGCCCACATTTTAAAACGATGAGCAATTATAAATTCTGTGTCTAAGTCACTAAGATTTGGTGTGGTTTGTTACATAACAGATAACAGACATATTTACCTGGCGGTATTCTCAATCCCTTACATCAAATAAGCTTTTCTGTTTGCTGGAATAGTCCTTTATCTTATTGCTTACTATGGTCTCACAGCTTAGGAAAACACAGCACAATAGGTAGGATTTACAGTTATTTGTAAAGGCTGAATCTCAAAAACATTATACTTGGAAATTTTTTTCACACAGGAAACTTCAGTGCCTGAGTCATGTTCTTGCATTTGGCTATCTTCTGAGGGCAGTTTATTTGGTGCTGAACCATGGATCAGATGTAACTGAGAGCTCTAGGAAGCCCTGAGCTGGTCTCATAGAATTTCTGGCCACAGAAGTCCAAGGTCTGGAGACTGGATCTTGATATAGGGGATAAGACAATTACTAACTGTATCATTTTAAAAATATGTACACAAATTCTTGCTATACCTTCCTTCAAATGCTGGAACCCAGTCAACTCCTCCTGCGTAGAGGCTATACTTAGTAACTTGCTTCTAATGAATATAATGTGTCAGAAATGAGAGTATAACATCAGACTAGATGAAAAATCTTTCTGTGGGTTCCTCCTTGCTCTCTCTTTGTGGTCATTTGCTCTGGGGAAACCAGCTAGCCTGCTGGGAAGACATTTGAGCAGCCCTATGAAGTGGCCCTTATAACCAGGAAGTGAGGTGGGGTCTCTTGGCCAACAACCAATAATGAACCAAGTCTCCTATCATCAGCCATGTGAGTGAACCATCTTCCAAAGAGATCATCCAGACCCAGTAATGACTTCAGATGACTGCAGCCTCAGCTAGCACCTTGACTGTAACTTCATGAGCCACCCTGAGCCAGAAGTACCAAGCTAAGCCGTTTCCAAATTCCTGATCCACAGAAACTAAAATGTTTGCGCTTAAGCCACTAAGTTTTATGGTTACCAAGCAATAGAAGGTAATACAAAGCTTTGGGATTTGGGGCATGTGTAGCTAACAGTAAACGAGGAGCCTAGGAACATCATAACTTATTCTCTAAGCAAATACTAATAGAATGGTAGTCTCTAGATAGTTCAATGAACACATCCATCTCTTTTTAAGGGCAAGCTGGGAGACTACCACATCTCTTTCAATTCTCTTGTCAAAACTCTTCTTAAAGAGGCTCTTAAGAATCTAAAGAACAGAACCCTTAGGATAAAAGGTTTGGAGCATCCCATATTATGGGCAGGTTGGAAATCTGAGTGTCTTGAGCTATTCTGCCAGCCACATAGGCCTTTGCAGAAGCCAACTCTTTCTTTCTAAATAACACAATGGATCAGTAAAAATCTATAGAATTTTATTTTCAAAGTCCCCCCACCCACCCCGCACACATATTGAATATTGCCACCTAAGGTAAAACTGACTTGGCGTAGCACACAATGAAAATCAGTGAATCTAAACATTGTTTTATTTCTTGATTATGCCAAAGCCTTTGACTGTGTAGATCACAACAAACTGTGGAAAGTCTTCAAGAGATGGGAATACCAGACCACCTGACCTGCCTCCTGAGATATCTGCATGTGGGTCAATAAGAAACCATTAGAACAGGACATGAAACAACAGACTGGTTCCAGATTTGGAAAGGAGTACATCAAGGTTGTATATTGTCACCCTGCTTATGTAACAATGCAGAGTACATCAGGCAAAATGCCAGGCCAGACGAAGCACAAACTGGAATCAAGATTGCCAGGAGAAATATCAATAACCTCAGATACGTAGATCTAAAGAGGAACTAAAGAGCCTCTTGAAATTGAAAGAGGAGAGTGAAAAAGCTGGCTTAAGACTCAACATTCAAAAAACGAAGATTATGGCATCCAGTCCCATCACTTCATGGCAAATAGATGGGGAAACAATGGAAACAGTAAGAGACTTTATTTTCTTGGGCTCCAAGGAGCACTGCAGATGGTGTTTGCAGCCATGAAATTAAAAGACGCTTGCTCCTTGGAAGAAAAGCTATGACCAACCTAGACAGCATATTAAAAAGCGGAGATATTACTTTGCCAACAAAGGTCTGTCTATTCAAAGCTATGGTTTTTCCAGTGGTCACGTATGGATGTCAGAATTGGACTATAAAGAAAGTTGAGTGCTGAAGAATTGATGCTTTTGAACTGTGATGTTGGAGAAGACTCTTGAGAGTCCCTTGGACTGCAAGGAGTTCAGGCCGGTCAATCCTAAAGGAAATCAGTCCTGAATACTCATTGGAAAGATTGATGCTTGAAGCTGAAACTCCAATAATTTGGCCACCTGATGTGAAGGGCTGACTCATTGGAAAAGACTCTGATGCTTGGAAAGATTGAAGGCAGGAGGAGAAGGGGATGACAGAGGATGAGATGGTTAGATGGTATCACTGATTTGATGGACATGAGTTTGAGCAAACTCTGGGAGTTGGTGACGGACAGGGAAGCCTGGCATGCCGCAGTCCATGAGGTTGCAAAGAGTTGGACATGACTGAGCGACTGAATTGAAGTGAACCATTCTCTGTAGTGATGATAAAGGATTACAAGAGACATGCAGTTTGTCTGGGCTAATCAAAAGCTTCCCCTGAAAGCCTACACCTTCTACACAGTCACAGCTCTCAGCCTAAGAATAAAGCTTAGAAGCAGCTAATACAACAACATACGCAGCTCAGTAGTGTGCTCAGTTAACAGTTAACGGGCACCAGATTTCTATATAACACAATTTGATAGGGGGGAAATTAGTAGAGATTGAGGAATTCTAACTGTTAATTTCTCCATAATATTTCTTTTAGTTCAGAAAGGGTGAATGGTTTCATATCCTGTGCCAACTCTGATCCACTGGCAGTAGCCTAAAACACAGCATTAGACGGTTTTTATGGGCAACTATGTGCCTCATGTGCTTTCAAGGCAAAGGAAGAAAGCACACATGCTCTGAATCTTCCATTCCTCTGGTAGAAGAAAAAAGGCCAACCTATCAGAGAAGGGCTGAAAATGATTGCTCATTCTTATCTAGTAATCAGTTGGTGGGACTCAGTAAGAGAAAGATTGCAGTAAACACTGATCTATGGTCCAGCACCTGCCTTTGCTATTATTTGTTATCAAGGGCAAGCGAATCTGGGTGGTGGGGTGGGACGGAGCAAGCACTGGGAGAACTTAAGTATATCCTATATGCAAAGTTCTTTATACTCATCTCATTCAATTCTAATAACAAACTATTTCTATTATAGGTAAGAATGATGGAGTTCAGAAAGCTTACGTTTTTTAGAGTTACACAATTCAAAGCCCAAGTCTGTCTGACACCAAAGACTATATTCTTTTCAAAATCTCGAAAGATCAACTGTATAGCCTGTGAATCTGTACAGGATATGGAAGAGAGAGATGAGATTGTGTCCAGAAGGCACAACCACAGAATTGGTAACATTTATTTTTCTTAAAAGAAACATGTTTTGGACATAACTCTTATTTCTAAGGAAATGAGTGAAATCTGTAACTGAGAGAAAATATTTCAACCTTAATACATGCAATATTGTGACATGTGAAGTCTTGAATAAGCAAGAAAATTTACTGTGTTTCCAGAGGTTTTGGAAGTTAAATTAGAAATCAGGATGCAATAATAACCTAAATGGGAAAAGAACTTGGAAAAAGAATAGATACATGTAATACACATAACTGAATCACTTTGCTGCACACCTGAAACTAACAAAACATTGTAAATCAATCCTACTCCAATATAAAATAATTTTAAAATTTTTTTAAAAAATCAATTTTTTCTACATTTTCTACATTAGTAAATGTTACATTGAGTAATTGTCAGTGTAATTTCTGCATTTTCTACAAAACTAAGTTATTCTCGTTTATGAAAAACTAATAATGAAATGTCCACAGAGTCGACATTTTAATCTGTTACAAATATTAATAGCATTTTTAAAACAGAACTAGTTTCCTGTCAAATTGTTATGATTCAAATGATGAAACATGCTAGCAGCTAAAAATTACCAGATAAGAAAAATGCTTCAAGTATCACTTTATCACTTCCATTTTAACAAAAATGAACATTAGGATTTGCTGACAAAAGAATTTTAGTTTCAAAGAATTTGGATAGCTATCACTGAAATTTTCACTTTGACATAAGATGTAGCAGGATATGGAAGACACCAAAACAAAGCACAAAAAGGTAAAATACTAAAAATTTCCTACCATGTTTGGTTCATCACTAATCACATTTTCCTGCAACTGTAGTAGCTTAAGAAGCTCCTACATAGTTCAGGTATATGCCACAAATACTTGCACAAAGTATTTTAAAGTAATGATAGTTTATATTTTTAAAAAATCAGTAGCAAATGTTAAACAAATCAACAATTTAGTTGTGCATCTAAATCTGATGTAATATAAAAAATAGAGAAATCTATATGTATTTGTGTTTTGGGGAGCATCAAGAGGCTCCGTTGTATAGAATTCTCCCCATCTTATCCCTTGGCCTGGACCATGGCTTTTCCACTGCTAAAGTCCTACATCTAGGCTACCAGAATACAGGCTACTAGCTCTTCTCCTCAGTAAGATGGCAAAGTCTCTCTTTTTCTCTCTCACTCTGCCACCCCTCCCACAACCCTTCTACAACTGCTGCTAGTATTCTTATTGTGTTATTTTATATCCAATTTTCTTAACCATAATCCACCCTTGATCTCTAACACATATTATGCTGAAGCATGTTGATACTGACAATTACTCAGTGTAACATTTACTAATACATAAAAAGGGCAAGTACCCATAACTGAATGAATACAAACAAAATCTAGGCAAATGTCAACCTGAGTGAGATCACTGTTTTTGAATCCCATAATGTTCAATGTAGGCAGTTTTATAAAAGTGAATTATGAAACACAAAGACAATAGAAATATAAGTTATTTATTAATCAATCCACTTACAAAGCAGGTGGCTTAATGCAAGCTTATTGACATCTTCACATATGATCCATGGGAACATGTCTTCCACATACAGACAGTGATGTTACTGACTGATGCATTTGCAATCTGGGGCATATTAAGCATATTTAGACAAATAAAATTAGGCTATCCTGTATATGAAAGTATCTTGATAATATGCATCCTGAAGTGGATTAAAACTTTCTCCAAAAGAGAAATGTTAGTACATTAACTTAACTTTAATATTCTATATTATGCAGTAAATCTTAACTATAGAAATTAAAATTTTTAAATCAGTGATCGACTCTTGGTAATGTATGAAGTGGGAGTCTAAAACCAGAGCAACAGTAGGTTGACAGTATAATTTGTGCCTCACAGTATCTGCAGATTTACTGTTTTCAAGCTTAAAGAGAAATAAAACAAGAGACATGTAGATTCAGCTGACTTTATTTATCTTTAAACTAATAAAAATCCCTTTAAAAGTGATTCTGGGACCTTTAGAAGATCTATCAATGCACAGATACCTGCCGATGACTGCAATTCTAAATCCTGACTAAATGTGTTTACAAAACTCAATGTAAGCAGATATCTTTACTATGCGTGCTTAGCAGAAGACTGAATGAAATTCTACATGTCTTCAATTTCCCTAAAATTTTGTTAAATCTGCAAGTATATACAATCCAGCTAATTGAAATTAATATTTAGTGTTCATCAGAGCTGTTTCACAGCAGCAAAAATTGAATCTGGGAAATAAAGTTCTAAACAATGTAGGAAAAAGATAAATACAATAGGAACAGCAGTCTAAATGTATGGTATTAATATTCAACTCTATCTGTATTGTGCTAAAAGGAAAAGGATACACCAAGAAGAATTCTATTGATCACTCTGGTGATATGAGTACCACCTGCATCTGATTGAAAATGGTTTGTATTCTGTTCCCGGTATCAAGGATGGTATTGAACTCAGAACTCCGTATTGTAAATATACAGCAGCCATTTTGTCCTAATTAAGGAATGTCTTAATACACAATATTATCATCTTCTAGAGGATCTTTATACATTAAACTAAAGTACATGATTGATTAAATTAAACGTTAGTAATGGATAAAAAAAATTCATAATTCTCAAGACCTGGTACTATGTAAAAAACAAAAAGACCACAAAATTCTACTTACTAAAGCAGCTAATCTTGCCTGCAAGTTTAGGGTCACAAGCCCATAATATGTGCAAAGAAATGCAATACAAGGAACCATGCAAAAATACAGTAAAATGATACAGGAAAAATGTCAAATCTAGAAAAAAAAAAGCTTTTATAAATACATCGAAATCAACTGTATACATAAACTGTGGGTCTAGCATTAGTTGTACCATGTAGCAGAGCCAGCACTCCTAAGCTCAAGGCTTCCGAATCTGCGCAGGTAAGTCATGCCATCTTTGGTTGACTGCAGTACCAGGAAGGTGGGAATGAGAGGGAGGGTAAGAGTTCTGAAACATGGTGTCAACTTTCACTTGGCAGCTGGGCCTCAATGTCCACTCTGCAAATGGGGCACTTCTTATTGGTGATCAACCACTGGTCAACACACACTTGGTGGAAAAGGTGCATACAGGGAAGGCGTCTATCATAAGGAAACAAAACAAAAAGCAAAAGTTAATTTTAAGACAAGTGCAGTGGCATTTAAACAAATGATACATACAATACTTCAGTAACGATCTGGAGTTACTAAACATTTTCTCTTCTGTTAAAAAAAAGAAACAAAAAAACCCTCCCTACTCAAGATTATATACCTACATTAAATTAATACTTTGGGCAATATAATGTATTAATGACCAAGATAATTAAATATCACAGCTAAAGAATCAAATTATATAAAATCTCAAGAATTTTAAGAACAACTACAGTAACAATTATTCCAGCTTTGTTTCTATACATGAGCTGCCAATGTATTGGAGTTGGCAATATGTTCCCCACAACATAATACTGTAAATATATTTTTAATATCAAATCACTGTATTTATGAAGCACTTTCAAAAAAATTCTCACTTAATTCTCTCGAAAGAATTATATAAACATACAGCAGCCATATCATACTAATTAAGGAATGTCTTAATATGCAATATTATTTTCTGTCTAGAGGATCTCTTTAACACATTAAAGTACATGATTGATTAAAGGTTAATAATACTGTTTCATGAGATCATTTGCATGTTATATCATACTATGCTACTCTTTTAAAAGCAGATTAAACAGATATGTATGCTTTAGTACACTATAGTATCAATTAGAAATAGAGAAATAAAGCTTCCGTGCACTAACATGCTAATGTTAAATCTAACAGTAGAGTAAAGATTACTGACTTAAGTGTCAATTTCAACTTCCACCACTGTTGAGTTGTAATACATTTCAGAATTCATATTTTGTAAAAATAGCTAAAAAGAGGTGTTCTAATTTCTCCCTGCACAGTATTGTCAATACTGTAAAAAACAATTATCTATATTTATAAATCTTTGTTGGAAATAAGTCAAACAACCTTCAAACAGCTTCAAACCCTCAAACAGCTTCAAACAACCTTCTATGTGATATAGTAGACAATAAAAGTTTGTAACTTTTCTCTCTCTCTTAGTCAACTGAAGAAATATGATACAGGTGTTATATATGTTATAGAACTTGCTTCATATGGGATTATGTTACATTAGAAAAAACAGAATAGGAACAAAACAGTTACTTAACAGATTATAAAAAGGAAAGTCTAAAATATTTGGTTAGCATAACAATACTTTCTAAATCACATAGTTACAAGAAGAAAACAGTCTACAAATTGAGAGGAAATTTTAGGACAAGATCACTTTATAAAAGATGATATAAAACAAACTGCATGGAGCTAATCTGGATCCCTCTCTTTAAGCTTTAGAGAAACATTAATATACATGTTTTGGCCTCCAAAGTGTCTCACCTCTCAAGTTCTCTGTCCTGCAAGATTCAGATAAGACAATACTGACCACAAAATCTCCCTGGTCAAGTCTTGGTGTGGCCCTAAAACAGGTAGTATATTTCTCTTTGATGTTAATACAGAAACTTAATCTTTTTACTATTTAATTCACTATTACAAGGCAATTCTACATATCAGAGACTGGTAACAGGGTATGCTAAAGTAATCTTTATTTGGTTTCTGATCTGCTTTATAATAAAATTCCTCTTTTTTTGGCTGTGTTGCAGGTCTGTGGGAGATTAGTTCCCCGACCAAGGACTGAGTCAGCACCCTCAGTAGCTCAAAGTGTAGAGTTCTAACTACTGGGCGACAAGAGAATCCCCTCAAATAAAATCTCTTGTACAGTTTTGACAATGAATTTTAGATAGTGTTTAGTTACCTCACATCTTCACCTTCCTCTAAAATAGACAAACAGATAGTACATTTTTCCTCTGTGTCTTCCTCAGTCCCTTCTTCCCCATCTTGTTTGCAGTGCAGTTTCCTCTGTGAGAACCAATCAGTTGTTACCTTGTTAGTAGAGATGACATTATTGAACAACTGAGTAAAGTTCGTGTTTATTTTAAAAACAAAACAAAACAAAACCATACATTCACCCACAATATATTTCCCAGATAAAATTGCCATGAATTAAAGGATGAATTAAGTGACTATTATCAACGAAGTGTTCTCTTAAGACCCTTAAGTAATCAGCATCAAAATTAAAAGTAACAGAAATTCATTAGTCTGAAATCTATCATTTCTAACCCACAATCAGGATCATATATACTATTTTGTCCCATTATAAGGCACAGCCAGATAAACTTCGTTTCATTAATAAATGTTTCAGATAAAGTTCAAAAATGAACGTCAGTTACAGTATTTAGCTTAAACAGTTGAGATGACTTACATTTAATGGTAATACCCCATTAATACTCTTAGGAAAAGGGTGAAAAATACAATGAACAGTCATTTTCACACTTCATTAGTCTCTATAGTATATAACAGTTTGTTGAAAGAAATTTATTTAACATGCCTACTCCACATCTTCTAGATGTAACACTACATAAGGAATATAAGGGTAGAATATAAGAAATGTAGGTCAATTAAGTTCCCATCCAAACAACTGACTAGCTAAATTATGGTACCACTATAGGATGGAATTCTGTATAAGCTATTAATAAGAATACGGGTCATCTGTAGGTGCTGATATAGAATAAAAAGAAAATGGACAAAAACTGTATGTATATTATCCCCTTTGAGTTATTTTTAAAAGTGGAAGAAAAAATATATACATATGCACATTATTAAAAATGCGTGGAAGATTACCTAAGAAATCTTTAAGCATGATTTTTCTTCTGGGAAGGAAAACTAGGATCATTAGAGTAACATACTTCAATTTACAGTTTTAGATTTTTTAACCATATGCATATATTGTTTTAACAATAAAAAAATATAGTTGATAGACTCCACAAACTTGAAAAAAGTCCACGATATTAAATGTTATGCATTTCAACAATAATGTAGATGTTTCATAGAATAAATGCTTACCTTTTTGTATTTATGTGGATATGTACATCTTTCAATTGTCCCCTGGGATGCTCCACGATTAACATTTCCTAATCTTTCTTCTAAATGAATAAGTTCCTAAAGAAGAATAACTAGTATTAAAAGCCAGTATGATTATTCCTTGAGCAGCACAGTCAGTATTGTAAAAGCAATAAAGTACCATATTTATAAACATGCAATGTAAATAGAGTATTCAAAAACCCATATATGGTAAGGCAAATGGCTGTTTGTAATTATTTCTCAGCTAACTGAAGTGGTATGGCAAAGTTATCTTTGTAGGCTAGAGCAACGTATTACCACATGATCCTATATAAGTCAGTAAGCATGTATGCATCTAGAAGATGAAGTCACTGCAGTAAAATAGGGAAACAAGTCAAACAATAGTTCTTGACTCCAACTTCCAAACTGACATGAAGAAACAAAACATTAATCATATTTAAATGATCTGTTCTTCCAGAAAAATTCAGATATTTAGCAAAAAACTGAATTACTTAGGTTTCTTTTTCTATAGCAATGTTTCTCTAAATACTAAGCTTAGTCAAAAAGCATTAGGCATTGATTATAGAAGAAAAATATTTTAAAAACCTAAATGTTTTTCTAGAAGAATGGTTAAATAAATTATATTCATCCACCCAGGAGAATATCAGAACTATCAAAAACAATGTACTAGTCAAAAAACTGATAGTACTTATTTCCCAGATATATTGCAAAGAGTAAATTTATACAAAAAGTGTTATCACTAAATTCTAATGTATTACAAGCATCACACAGGTTCAGTAAAGCATATCAGTCTAATGCATTTAAAAATTTTTTAACTTCTTATTTTGTATTGGGGTAGAGCCAATTAACAATGTTGTGATAGTTTCTAGTGAACAGCAAAGGGACTTGGCACATACACATACATGTATCCATTCTCCCTCAAACTCCCCTCCCATCCAAGCTGCCACAAACATTGAGCACAGTTCCACGTACTGCATTTATTTAAAAAAAAAAAAAAAAAAAGCATGAAGGTTTTTCTTGCACATTTAATGGTATGGTTCTTTATCTGATATTTATATTTATTTAATAAATTTCTACATTCTTCTATTATTAGATATTTTCAATTATGCTTCTTCAATATTTGGGTAATTTCTGATGCTGATTAATATTACTTATAAATCTTTCTATAACAATCCCTAGAAGCAATATAGATGTGTTACTGCCTTTTGATCCCCAGTCACTGCAGCAATCCTATAGTTATAACTATTAATATTACATATACTCTCTTTTTGCATTACAGATACTGTGGCAAATATCATTAATGCTATTACATACCTCAAAATTGCCCCTGAAAGGACCTCTGAATGATGTTCCATCCAAGCCTGATGAAATGTAACGAATGTGAGGATAGCCTGCCATGTCAGGAACCTATTTTAAGAGAACAGGTAAGCTAAATGAATTAAGAACAGGCTCAAGTTTTACTGCTACCATTGAATAATTCAGATATTCAATTTTCTCCATCTAGCTTCTCAAAAAAATCAACTTCAGGAAGAATACATAACTCCAAAAAAGGCATTCCGTTAACAGGTTCCTCTTCAAAAATGATCTCGTTTATAATAACTTTTAAATTATCATCAGAAGGAAAAAAATAGAAGCAGCAGTTCCATGAGACAACAGATTCTCTTCTATTTGATTTATTTTGCACAAAGAATCCTAAGTAGAGAATACTCAAACCTAAGAATGATGCTCTTAGTGGCCTAAACATACAAAGAGTAAAATTTTTATAAGATCTGGTCAATTTCAGAGAGCTTTATTGTACAGTATTAAGAAATAGAAATGCGTAAAATTTTCTAACAAAACTTAATTTCAGGATAAAAGTTTTATTTCCCTTTCTCTAACCCCCAAATAGCCAAAGGTACTTTTGGCTGCTCTTTTGGTTTGGTTCTATTAGTGAGGTTTTAACAGTTTTTAATTTTTTGTTAGCTAAGGTCAATCTTCACAATCTTATTTGTGAGCTCACCCACTTGACAGAATTTGTTTGTAACTCCAAAATCAATAGTTGTGCTCTCACAAGTCATTCACAGACCTGCACAGAGCAGCAAAAAAAATCTGAGCTGCCCAATACGTGATCCCAGTTGAGGAAGAACAAGACCCTGCCCACTCGTTTCAGTTCTTACACTGTATAAACAAGTGTCTTTTTTGCAATGTATTAAGTGCAATGTTTTTCACATTTTTGTACTTTTTATAGGTCATTTTGTTGTTTAAACTGATCCCCAAACATAATGCTTAATTGTTAGCTAGGGTTCCTAAATGCAAGAAGGCTGTGATGTGCCTTATGGAGAAAATATGTGTACATAAGCTTCGTTCAGGTATGAGTTATGGTGTCATGAGCTTGGCCATGTGCTCAATGTCAATGAATCAACAGTATATATCAAATAAGTTGTCTCTAAACAGAAAAATACATTAAAACAAGGTTATGCATTGGTTGTTGGGACTGGAGGCTTGCAATAACCTAGGGCTATATTCACCCTGGGAATAATGGTTCCATTCACAGTAACTCTATAGTACATTAACTACCATGAATAACAAGAGCTGACCATAGTGTTAGGAAGGGGATATTGAGGCCATTCTTGCATTTTTATAAACAAATCTCCAGACTTATTTGGCTTCCACTAAATCATAATATACTTCTAGCATGTTTTACAACTTTAAAAGACAGTTCACACATGGAAAAGAATTTAAAATAAGCAATAATTTCTACCCTTTAAGTAGCCTATTATTTAAGTATCTGCAACTTTCCTTATAATCAAGATCAATAGTATCCAGCTCTAAGCAGATAACCTATCTTCCTACACATCAGAAAGAAACTTCTGCCTTCCAAGTTACTTAAAGCTGCACTTCTCCTGTAACCCTCCCTAGCCTTCTTTCTCTAACTTTTAGGGGTAAGCTTCCTCTTTCTCTTACCCAAAGGTAAGCTCTATCATTTGCTCCCCTCTTCTCTTGTTTCCCCACCCTGGACCATCCTTAACTGCTACCCACCCTTTTCCTGGATATCTTCAAACAAGTCCTCCCTAATGTTACCCTGTTTTGTCTTAAACCTAAAATTACCTTCATGTTTCTCCAAACCCAGGTTCTCTAATCCTAATAGTGAGAGACTGTTAGTCACTTAGTCGTGTCCGACTCTTTGCCACCCCACGGACTAGAACCCGCCAGGCTCCTCTATTCATGGAACTCTTCAGGCAAAAATACTGGAGTGGGTAGCCATTCCTTTCTCGAGGGGATTGTACCTACCCAGGGATCAAACCTAGGTCTCCTGCATTGCCGGCAGATTCTTTACCATCTGAGCCACCAAGCAAGAATCAATCCTGGACCAAATGCCAATGCAATTTCCCACTTTCCCTTCACAGCCAAGTTTATTAGGCAAGTAGTTCCACATATTTTAACTTTCCCTATCTTACTGTGATCTAAGAGGCATCCCAACCTCCATCCCTCACCATTAGTGAAATCACTTTGACAAAAGCTGCCAAAAACCACTCTAATGCCAAATGCATTCAACATTTTTCAAACTTTACTTTTTTGTGATGAAACACTACTGACCATGTTATTCTGACCTTATTCTAACTTTGTTTCTCCTCAACTACCCTAGCCAATTCTTGGAATTATTTGTTTGAAGTACAGTTGTTGTTGTTGTTTAGTTGCTAAGTTGTGTCTGACTCTTTTGTGACCACATGGACTGTAGCCCGCCAGGTTCCTCTCACCATTGAGTCACCCAGGAGGCCCTGAAATACAGTATTATCATTTAAATACAGTATTATTATTTGCCAAGGTTCTTTCAATCTCTCATCAGTCTGCACATCTTTCTTAGAAATCTAATCCTCTTCCATGGATTCATGTAATATGACAAGACAAGTGATACATGTAATATTTTATATTGACAGATCACAACCTATCTTTAACTCAAAGACCAGTTTATTCTTTGGAGATTCAGACCATAAACCCAACTTCATACTGGACAGTCCACCCTGACATACATGTATCTCAGATTCAATATGTCCAAAATCTAACTCACCTAACCCCTTCCCTAAATCATCATCTAATATTCTCCAAATTAGTGAATGGCAGCGCCATACACCTAACAACCAAACCTAGATATCTCGGAATCATCTTCAATATTACTCAAACAGAGTCCATCATTTTTATAGGTCAACTGCCACTGCCCTTGTTCAAGCATTCATCAACTTTCATCTCTTCTACTATAATGTGTCCTTCCTTCCACCATGAAACCTATTTTCCACACAACTGAAGAGATGGTCTATTTAGGTACAATCTGATTAAATCATCCTAACAACATAAACATGATCAAGACATTCCTCTTTCAATGGAGTCTAATTTCTAGTTTCCTGGCAGGGCATGTATTTCATTGCTGAGTGACCTTCACCCCTAAGATCTAGAAACAGCAACTAGGATTTCCCTGTGCTTATGCTATCTGAAAGCTCTTTACATGATGTAGCCAGTTTAAGAGCACCATTCTCTATTCCAAAGCTTGCTTAGAAGTTGTATGTATAGTAAAGTGTCTTGGAAACCTTCTTTGTAATACTTCTACCCCTACAAAACTACTCACTTCTCTGTACTATGCAATATGTATTATGTGAAAAGCAAACTCAATTTTTGCTGAATTTGCTCTTTAGAACTCAAACCGGTGTTAACAAAATCTGAATATGTTCAAATCAGTTACAATTAGTATCGTTTTTCTACTGATCAGAAAATAAAGTATGAATGCATTAGAACAGACCCATTAGCATGTATGATGATAAAGCACATGCCCCACTGAAAGTGGATAAAGATTGTCATGTCGATATAAAAGGAAAAAAATGTCATTTTTTACATCAAGAAGAGTATATGTAACACTGCAAATACAAACATATTTTATGGCATCTAATACCTTCTTATGGCACAATTTCAATCTAATAATAATAATTCTAATCCTCTACTGAAACACCTATTAACAACTAATACATTAAAAATATTTCCAAAAAATAATTTAGAAAAGGAAGAACAGTTTTTGAAGGCAACTATGTTAGAATTTTGAAATCTTCCTATTTTACCATTAAAGGTAGAGCTCCTAACTGCAAGTGATGAAGCCGAGGTGGTGCATGGTAATGGGCCAAGTGAGGATGCAATGCTCCAGGTGTGTAAGTAGCTGCAGTTACTCCAGCTTCAATTCCCAGTTCCCTGACAAAAGAGAACAGTTTAAATGTTAGACATCCTTACAGTGTCTACTATCAATAGAAATGCAGGAGTATGTTTACATTTTTTAATGTCACCTGAAGATTCTTATCTTACTTAGCTGAGAAAAAAAGATAAGTCAGCCCCAAAGATATAACTAATAATTTCAAGTTCATTTTAGAAACTAAAATTCAAAGGTTCAATTTTGTGACCATGAGGAGCAAGGCATTTGTATCCAGGTACTTCTATCCTTACAAAGGAAGGACATACAATGAGTGTCCCTAAGTTTCCTTCCAATCTAAAAGTCTGATTTTTCATGAGAAGCAAATACAATTGAGTTTACTTTTTTGGTTTATATGAATGTTGCTCCCAGGTCTTTTGTTTGTTGGATAGTGCCTCTGGATTGTTGGCATCAAGGATATTTCGAAGAGTAAACACTTCTATACCTTATAAAGCAAGGGTAAACAAAATTTTAGAAAGTAAAACTGGTAAATATCAAATCTTCAATTATTTATTCTCATTTTATATTTTGTCTGAAAAGTCACTGTGGATCAAGATCTCAATAACTACCTATAGACAAGAGATTCAGAAAGAAAACTGAAGCAAATTTGCCTCCATTTCTCTAGGAAACAACTCAAGCCTGGAGGATCCAGGCTGGATTTCCCTTGTCAGTAGCAGGGGTTAACTGCAGGGGTTTGCAGGAGGTACTGCAAACATGAGGACAAGGGTGGGGGTGCTGGATAAAGAAGTTATGAAAAATTTAGGGGTTTTACTTTGATGGTAGATCTCTGAGAAACAACAACAACAAAGAAGCTCTACTCCAGTTTGACAGGATTCCCTGCCCTAGAACTCAAGCTGCAACTCTTTCCTCCCCAAGTCTCTTATGACTCACCCAGAGACAGTGAGTCACAGCTAAACTGGAATTCAGTTTCTCTGTATTATCCTTAAAAAAAAAAAATTTGTATATCTAGCTATTTGCAGTGCTAGGTCTTACTTGTAACACTCAGGATCCTCAATCTTGTTGTGACATGTGGAATCTTTACTTGCAGAATGCGAACTCTTAATTGTAGTATGTGAGATCTAGTTCCTTGACCAGGGATTGAACCCAGACTCCCTGCATTGAAAGTCCAGTCTCAGCCACTGGACCACCAGGCAAGTCCCCACATTACCCTCACCCTACAAAGTATCTCTTCCAACCTTTTCTACCACAAGAAACTTATCACAGCTCTGAAATAAACAAGATACTGACCAGGCAGATCTCTCCGGAGCCTGTCGAGGATGTGAGGACATAGTCTGAGGCACATGAATATGATGCCCGTGACCATAATTTGGGTGCATCCTATGTGGATGGGGTGGGGGGCGTTCATGTGCCCGCCTGGAAACACAGAACACAAAAAGACCACTGGAAATAATTGAATAATTGGTTATTTCTTAATGTAGAAAGAAACAATCTAGTATTAATATTATAAACATCTATAGATTAGTCTTGAAATTAACTCTGTAATAAATTATAAAAATGCAATATAAAATAACCTAATGATTAACAATAAATCAAGAAACCATAGCCCCACAAATTCTCACTACTCATTTATTTCAATGTCTCCAATCCAAATATCATCCAAGGGAAAAAACAGTATCTTTATAATCTTTATATAGCAGATATTTTAAATAGAATAACAGGAACTAAATGAAAATAAAATTTTAAAAATTAATACTCCAGCATATGCTGCGGACACAAGGAAGTTGTTTTAAGAAATGGAAACTATCTTGCTTCATCTTTTTGCTGTAATAATATTCATCCATTTTAATGGATAAAATTTCTAAGGGGAAAAAAAAAACTTCTAAGGAAAAAAATTTAACCTGTGTATTTTCTTCAAACACATGCAAATACATGTCAACACATCTGGGAAACTGGTATTACTTCTATTCACACTCTATTCATCAGTCCAGCTTACTGTATTTTCTCTTTCTAAAGTCTGTCAAATTTACAAATACAAATGGTCACAAAGTTCTAAACAAATGGCACTTGAGAAAAAACAGTTCTAGGTATTCATTTCTACAGTCTAATTCTTATTTTCTACTAGTTTCAAACACATATACAGATTTTTCATGTTTAACCTTAATGATTCAGAACAAGCAATTTTCTAGATACTGGAAGATAGAAATATTAATTAGCAACTTTCTATATAAAGGGTCACTATATTAAAATGACAGAAATAGTCACAGATTCTAAATATAACCTTAAATTATATAACTAAAGAAAGAAGTTACACAAGTGCCAGATCATTGATTAAATCAAGAATTTGCAAACATTCTGTAAGGGCCAAATACTTAATATTGCTTGCTCTCTAGGTCACATGGTTTCTGTTGTAACTACTCAACCTGTGGTTTTTGTAGTGTAAAAGAAGCTACAGACAATATATAGATGAACCAGTGTAGCCATTTTCCTGCATAACTTTAATAGGCAGTCAGAATAAGACCAACAAAGTACATTGCCCCAAATTAGAACATCAGGTCCTGAGTTTTCCAAAGAAAACATAAAGTTCTTTTTGTTTTTATAGTCTTTTCACATGAAATAACCTGATATAGAATTTTTATGTCAGCACCTACAACTCAGGATAAGACATTCTGGTTAGTAAAAAATTAATTTCCTAGTGAACTGAGGATTAAATATAGCTATATCACTTCTGAAGACTTTACAGTCTTAAAAACCAATGGAAATAGAAGGCAAAAAGAATAAAGGGTGATTATCTTTTTAAAAACATAAAACATACGTTGGATGCTGCATCATTCTCCTTCTTTGAACTTCCATCCTCTGCATCATTTCATGAGGATGCAGTCTTTGTGCTGGAGGTGCTGTGGCTGGAATATGGTGTGAAATTGGCTGGTGTGTGGGAGGAAGATGCTGGGGGATTGGTGCAGCTGTACTGGCTAAGTGAGTTGGAGGTGGGGGTGCCACGGGGTGAGATGTTGCATGAGACGATATTTGAGAATGGAAAGCATGAACAGGATGAGGAATAACATAATCCACTTGAGGCGGAGGCTGAGTCTGAGGAGGAGGGTTTCCATGAGAGTGGGGGCAGGCAGAGGTTTGATGATGAAGTGGTCTTGTCAAAGAAGCATCTGTAAGAAAAGCACAAGCACCACAAGGTTAAACATATATTGCCATAATACATTTGTGTTTTACTTAGCAAACATATTAGTGTATTTTTATTTTGTAAATACTTTATCAATGCTTGAGCCTGCTTAGTCTTGTTTGGCAACCTGCTTTCTTCTTTGAGTAATCAGAGGTATCTTCTCAAGTCAATATATATATAGCTTTACTTCATTCACAGCATTTCATTACAGGAAGGCACCTAAATTTATTGATCACCATTGATAAAAACTGGAAGCCATTATCAAATTGCCACTGATAAAAACTGGAAGCAAACCAAAGCTGCAATAAACATCTCTGTGTATAATTCCTCTTGTGCTCTCTTTCATACATGCATGTACATGAGTGTCTGAACATAAAGGCACACACTCATACACACCACTCACAGAAAGTTTCTATAGCATAAATTCCTATAAGCAGTTCTGAGTCTGAAAGAATAATTTAAACTCAGATTATTGTTGTTGATCATGTCCGACTCTTTGTTATTCTATGGACTGCAGCACGCTAGGCTTCCTTGTCCTTCACTATCTCCCAGAGTTTGCTGAAACTCATGTCCACTGAGTCGATGATGCCATTCAACCATTTCATCCTCTGTTGCACCCTTCTCCTCTTGCCCTCAATCTTTCCCAGCATCAGGGTCTTTTTCAATGAGTTGGCTCTTCGCATCAGGTGGCCAAAATATTGGAGCTTTAGCTTCAGCATCAGTTCTTCCAATAATATTCAGGGTTGATTTCCTTTAGGATTGACTGGTTTGATATCCTTGCTGTTCAAGGGGCTGTCAGAGTCTTCTCCAACATCACAGTTCAAAAGCATCAATTCTTCGGTGCTCAACCTTCTTTATGGTTCAACTCTCATATCCATACATGACTACAGGAAAAAACAGCTTTGACTATATGAACCTTTGTTGGCAAAGTGATGTCTCTGCTTTTTAACATGCTGTCTAGGTTTATCATAGCTATTACTATGCTATACTATTACAAGTGCTTTAAATTCCGTGGCTGCAGTCACAATCCACAGCAATTTTGGAGCCCAAGGAAATAAAGTCTGTCACCGTTTCCATTTTTTTCCCCATCTATTTCCATGAAGTGATGTGACCAGATACCATGATCTTAGTTTTCTGAATGCTGAGTTTCAAGCCAGCTTTTTCACTCTCCTCCTTCACCTCCATCAAGAGGCTCTTTAGTTCCTCTTTGCTTTCTACCATTAGGGTGGTATCACCTGCATATCTGAGGTTATCGATATTTCTCTCAGCAATCTTGATTCCAGCTTGTGCTTCATCCAGCCCAACATTTTGCATGATGTACTCTGCCTATAAGTTAAATAAGCAGGGTGACAATATACAGCTTTGATATATCTCCTTTCCAATTGTGAACCAGTCAGTTCTTCCTTGTAAGGTTCTAACTGTTGCTTCTTGACATACAGGTTTCTCAGGTGGCAGGTAAGGTGGTCTGGTATTCCCATCTCTTTAAGAACTTTTCAGTTTGTTGTGATCCACACAGTCGTTTTAGTGTAGTCAATGAAGCAGAAGTAGACGTTTTTCTGGAATTCCCTTGCTTTTTCTAGGATCCAGTGGATGTTGACAATTTGATCAAAATTCAGATACTAGTTGACAAAACACCTTTCCCAAAAGTTTACCATAATTAATTACCATCAATAGTACATGAGAGTTCCTGACTAATTAGACTGTCACATATTTTACATGCTAATCAGAAAAAAATTTTGTATTCATTAATCAATTATATTTCTTCCCAGAATTATCTATTCACATTGTTAGCTTATAATTCACCTTTTTCTTATTGATTTATAAGTATTCCTTGTCATAAGGTAGTATAAACATTTTTCCAAATTGTCTCCTGGTAATTTTACTCTGTCATAAGTATTTTGCTTTTGTAAAATCAAATGTATAAATTATATATTTATAAACACATAAATCATGTTTTCCTTAATCATTAATGGTTATAGAGCACTATAGAGAGGAAAGGAACTTGCAAGTCCTAGGCACGCCTGTAAACATATATTTTCACCACTGCACTTCTCTCCCTGCCCCATGCTATTTTTCCTGTGCTACATTAAGGAGAGGGCATATTTGCTAGCAACTTGCCAAGAAAATCAGCCTTTATAAAGATGGTTTCACCCATTTCTTCAATCTGAATCTTTACATTGCAAAATGACTGTTGAAAGGTCCCTTAAGGGAATACTTTTCTCTCTTAAGAGATGAGCATCAGTTTGAGGTCTAAAAATAAGTTTGTCTCCTCCTTGGATTTCAGCCCTAATTTCATTTCACTTGTACAATTTTCTTGGTAGTCTGGTATGGAGCCATAGCATTTCTCTAGTTTCGTTACAGAAAGATTACCTTCAATTTTTAATTGCTTTGATTCGTGCAGCAGGGGTGAAAGTTAGGTAACCACAGACTCATTCAGCCATACATCAAAAGAAAAATTGTTGGCATATATTTAAAGGAAACTTTCACTGAGCTCAATTTAAATTGTAAGACATATTTTTAAAACTAATTTTCTAACAGTTGTATTTTCAAATCAATGTTTTACTCTTAAGAAGTCACAAAGCTCAGTACTTCTTAGTCATCAAAAAAGAAGTTACTAAATTCTCTAACTGTTAACTATTCTTCCTCAAATTTAGAGCATTTTTCCCAGTTTCACAGCAAGGTGTTCTAACTATATAATTATTATATAAGAAATAATATTCACAAATATCACAAAATGCTAAAGTTTTGCTTTGGAATGAATCAATTTATTTAACTCTTCATTAATCATTTTTCAACTTTACTAAGGTATAATTAACAATTAAAACAATATATCTAAAGTGTATAATATGATAATTTGACACATTATACCACGTGAAATGATTACCACAATCAGTTTAATCACACAGTTGCCAATTTTTGTGTGTGGTGAAAACTTCAGCCATCATTATGATGCACTGTTTATCTAAACAAAATAAGTACAAATCATTGTATAAAGGTGATATATTCTGCATTCCCACAGACCATTTCCCTTCTTCTCTGTATTATGTGTTCTTGCCAGTAAAAATAAACAAACAAAAAGTGTTCTTGATATTGTTTCTTAAAAGTTTAGCATGTCACTTTAACCCAGCAATCTCAGTCCTAGGAAGTTACCCTACAGACTAGTAGAAAACTACAAATAATTTAAATGTTCATCAATTGAGGACTAATTGAATATACAATGGAATATTATGAGGATATTAAAAACAATGAGCTAGAATTTTATGTACTACAAAAATCTGAAACATACTGTTAAAATTTTTAAAAATAAAAAATGAAAGATAGGCAAATACTATGTTTGATATGATCCCCTTTTTTTTTAAAAAGGAGAGATATGTCATAATAAGAGATGTGTCATAATAACATGTGCAGAGAAAGAAAATTTCTGAAAGGGTTTATAATGAATTATAAACAGTTGCTACCACTGAGGTATTGGGATTAGTGGGAAGAATGGAGAAGGATTTTTAACTTCTTATATTATTCTGTGGTTTGAACTTCTTAAAGTGTACACAAGTTACTTTTATGATAAAAAGAAAACATTAACTTTTTAGATTAGAACATAAAAAAGCAAGGGATACACTTATAAATTGCTTCAATATATTATTTTTAAAGAGGAGGGGGAGAAAACCACACATTTTGAGTTCCCAATAAAAGATAATAAACAAAAGATGAATATCAACAACTATTACAGAACAGCCTGCACATCCTGCCAGTGTTCACACACGAAATTTGTCCACTGGTTAATGTTTTGCAAAAACTTGAACTCTTGAAAAGATAAATGATGTATCACCAGATTTCACTGTACAAATTCTGGGTTGACTCTAGCTGTGTATGCAGGACACAGATTTTTAAAATTATAGGGCTGGAATCATAAGAAGATAAATAACTGAACACTATCCCTCGTATGTAATCAGAGGACAAAAGCAAATTTCCTTGCCAATGTTTTTGCTTTACTCCTGGCATGAATTTTCAGTGCTTTTTTAAAAAAATCAAAATATTTAATAAGTTTCCATCTGATTATTAGCCTATGATTTGACAAAGCAATAAATATATGCTACGCAGCCTAAGGTTATTTCTCATTTCTTGTATCTTATAGATTTCAATTTCTTAGAAAAGTCATATCTGATTCTATTTTAACTGCTTGCATGAAAAGAGTACAGAAAACCTTTCTACAATTGTCTTTCTGTCAAGGAATTTTCTCCTGTGTCTCAGTTAAGTTTCAGAATTCTTAAAGTTTAATTTCCTATGCATAGAAACAACTACTAAACCTTCCAATTTCTTTTTAATACTGAAGGATAAATATAAATTCCTTAAAATTTCCTTTTATAGGAATCGAAAGTACCATTCAATGTACTTCTAATAGATAGACATTAAAATGTAAATGTTAAAATGTAAATTAGACAAATATGATACTTTTTATTATTTTCCCAGACCTTTTAAAACAACATCTGCCGTTTTTGCTTAAGAAGACCGCTTTAGGTATGTGAGGTGAAGGAAGGATGAAATGGGAAAAATACACTCCACTTTTAGGTCAAGGAAGTACTTACTAGAAATTTATAAATTAGAATTACTGAAAGGTTATTAAATGGAGGACAGTACAATGCTTCATTTATGTGCCTCTAAGTTCTTTGCCTATTAAATTTATACTTACAAGGAGGTGGCATATAATGTCGACAAGATGACAGTGAGGCTGGTGGAGGGGGCTGGGGCTGGGGCTGGGCAACCATGCTTGATCCATAAGCATCTATGGATAATGGCTGACTCGGGGCAGCGGCAGCAGCAGCCTGATGGCCAAAGATTGCAGCTCGGGAAGAAGAAACAGGACAGCAGGGGTCAAATGCAGACGCTCCATGAAAACCAGCACTTCCATGACTTCTGACACCACTGCTGCTCAGGTCTACTGGCAAGGCCTGCTGTACAAAGAGGAACTGTGTTTTATCTTTCTACAATTTGGTCAAAACATCGTTTATGGCATACTGTAAAAGTACTCAATGTAATCTAGAAAAATAGAATCAATAAATTTGAAACTGGTAAAATTTTGAGTGTGAAGACCTACTGAGCACCAAAAAATACTACGTGTATCTTGGATTGTAAAAATTATAGTGCTTATCCACTTAAAAACTGTAATCAATTTTAAATAATCAAGCATGTGATAGTGCTTGAACAAAAGTTAATGTATTATTTTAAGATCTATTTATCTTCCATATACTAGATCTTAAGAGAGAAACTTTTAAATCATATGTTGATATCCTCCTTTACACCAAAACTCTGACTGGTAATTTAGGACTCCTTCAGAAAACATATAATCATGCCACTGAAAACATTCAAGGTTTCAGGTAAAAATCTCATTTTTAAACTGTACGCAGCAAGGATTCAACTAAAACTCAAATAGTGAAAACATTATCCAAGATAACAGAGGGTCTAAGATTATTCAAGCTAAAACTGTTAGCTTTGCCTCTTAGTTACCTTTTTCACTTAAAAAAATTTAAACCACGATTACTTTTATTAGTAAGATAATTTTAGGGAAGGATCATTTACCAAGTTGAAAAATCAAAGAGTCTAAATTCCATCCCTAACTAGAGCACTTTGAAAAGTCCTAAGGAAAACAAACACTTTACCTTCTACTCTAGAGCAGATAACAGAAACAGAATTGCTTCTTTATATTCTTGAGTATTTTAAGTATAAGCCTTTGCTTAGTGTTCAGTACAGCTGCAATTTTTTAAATGTGATTAAAGAAAATGAAGATGTTATATATGGAATCATATGTAGAGATTGTTCACTACTGAAAGCTGGGGGACTAGAGGTGAGGAAAGCGAGGGTAATGCATTTAATAGAGGCCCAGGTCACTTAGTCCAGTGAGGAACCATAGCGGTCTTAGTATATTTTAAAAATTGTTTTTAGAGACAGAGTGGTCTTTGTGGTTTCAATGGCCACCCTGTTCAGAGGATAAAAGAAACATAAGAAACTCTGGATATTAAAAGGGAAGGAGGAGGATGGTATAGAATGAGGGAAGGACAATAGAACTACATTCCTCTTGTACATTGTGTCTACAATCAATTAAGTAAATATCTGACGTCTTTCTTCAGAGTTGGCAAATACAATATCAGCTTCTAATGTGGATAAATAAGGTTTAAGAACAATATTTTAAGATTGTGAATTATTACTGATGACTCAAATCCTTTGTGTATTTCCTATTTACGTTAAAATTTGGCAAATGGACTGGAATATTAACATACTATGAAGGTGAGCAAATTTCCTATCTTCTTCTCCAGTCAGTGATTAAGAAAACTCCCAAAGAGTGAGTAAGGTAGGGTGAAGGTCCTCCTAGAAGCAACCGAGGGTAAAGTTAAAAGTAGAGAATAAAAAGGGGGAAAAAGCCAACAGAGAGAACCCTCTTCTTCACAATTCCAAGAGTTCACTCAATTCTTATTCTAGAAAGAAAAGTGGGGTTAAGCAAGATGGTACAGAAATAGCAAATATTACTTATTTGTTGTCCAGTCGCTAAGTCCTATCTGACTCTCTTGTGACCCCACGGACTGTAGCCCACCAGGCTCCTCTGTCAATTGGATTTCCCAGGCAAGAATACTGGAGTAGGTTGCCATTTCTTTCTCCAGGGGATCCTCCTGACTCAGGGACTGAACCTTGGTCTCCTGCATTGCAGGCATCTTTACCACTAAGCCACCAGGGAAAGTGAAAGGGAAAGTTGCTAAGTCGTGTCCAACTCTTTGCAACCTCATAGTCCATGGAATTCTCCAGCCAGAATACTGGAGTGGGTAGCCTTTCCCTTCTCCAGAGGATCTTCCCAACCCAGGGATCGAACCCAGGTCTCCTGCACTGCAAGTTGATTCTTTACCAGCTGAGCCACAAGGGAAGCCCAAGAATGCTGGAGTGGGTAGGCTGTCCCTTTTCCCGCGGATGTCCCTGACCCAGGAATCAAGCCAGGGTCTCCAGCATTGCAGGCAGATTCTGCACCAACTGGGCTCTCAGGGAAGCCCTTTACATAGATTATAAATAATGCATAACACTAATTAAACTATTCTATCAAAAGAGAAAGCTACACCCAAAGGAGTAGTATGATAGAGTCAAGTGACTACTAAAACTTCTCTGCTGTTAAGACTAATCCTCCCCAATCTTTCTCTGCCTATCTACAGTTTGACAATGAGACACCACACAATTATAAATCCTAAGATTAGTCTCCTTCTCCTCAGCTTCCTACTATGTCCACACAGGTCTCAAATGTAGACTATATGAGACTATCTCATGTACATGTGGTTAATTTCAGAGTCCTACAAAGAGCTACACGAATCTCAAACTTCATATCTCCAAAACCTCACTCTTTAGCTTCATATCCATTATCACTATTGAATGCCTGATCCTGCTGATTTTCCTCAAGGTTTGTGTATACTCCAAATACTTCTACTTAGAGACAGAGGTTAGAGAAGATCTCCTGGAGAAGGAAATGGCAACCCACTCCGGTATTCTTGCCTGGAAAATTCTGTGGACAGAGGAGCCTGGTAGGCTACAGTCCATAGGGTCACAGAGTCGGACAGGACTGAGCAACTAACACTTGAGAGAGAGAGAGAGATGAGCAGGTCACACCTATATTTGACACAAAACAATAAGAGATTCTACCTATAATTAAGTCACTCAGGTTGCTTTTTTAGGCCCAAAAGGTAGAATAGGTGTAGTCAATCAACAGATGTTAGTACTTAGAACTGCTGTTAACAGAGCCAAAACATCATCTAAAATCTCTTTAATCACATTTCCTACTAAACCCTTTCAATTTTTTTTTTATATCAGCAGCTAGTTTCTTCTTAAGGGAACACTTCACTTTCTCAATTTTAATTTGTCAGAACCAGAAGAGATAATCATCAAAAATTTAAAAGACGAAGCAAGTAATGTACTTGAGGAAAAGCCAGAGGGTACAGTGGAGCAGTTACTTTGAATTTTACTTTAACTTTTTCTAGCCCATTTTTTTTTTAGCACATGTGTCACTTACCATTTTATATTACCCATTTTGTTTTTTAAAGTATGCACCACCCAGGTTTACATCACAATTACACACAGAAACAATACAGCAAAAGTTAAAATAGCACATAATACCTCACTTTATTTACTCCACGTGATCACCAATATGAATTTAACACTATTTGACATTTTAAGTACTCACTAATAATATCAACCAAGTTACTTAATTAGCAAAAAAAATTACTGATAATTTTTTTTGCTGACATTTCAATTTCCCAGAAACTAAAAACCTAATCTGCTCCTGAGAAACAGGAGGTTCCTCCCTGTATGGTTTTGCAGCTGAGAAGTCTGTTTATTTCTAGATGAGTGGAGATTACTGGGAGGCTCCAGAAGAGGAGGTAAAGGAGGAAAAAACTGGGAGAATTCCTCAATTTCTCATGAATGAGGCTGACACTGCAGTTTCAACACCTTTGTTTGAAATGAAATCCTAAACATTAAATCCACTTATATTTAACTAAAAACACTGAAAAACATTCCAGAATAAAAAATAGTATCCAATTATCCACATCCCTGGTCCCCTCAATTGGTTGTAATCATTTACAACATGAGAAAATCCTAAATACTTAATTTAAAAAAAAAAATCACAGATCATTAAATTACACCACTCTTGTAGGGGCAAAAAGAATGACTTATTTGGTACATAAACTTTATCATTAGATTTTTTTTCTCTGGAAGGAACTGCAATTTTAAAAAATTAAGGAAAAAAAATTTTTTAAAATAAAAAAAAAAATAAAAAATTAAGAAGAACTCATCAAATTCCACATACCTGGTCATGGTAGCTGGCACTGGAAGTACTATTTGCTCCACAAGGTGGCTGTACTTGTGGAGGTCTTTCCACAGGACACGCAGGGTCACTAAAGGAAGGAGACACTGGGACGGCTGGGTGGGGAGGATGATGATGGTGGTGATGATGCTGAAAATGGTGGCCATGCTGCTGAAAGCAACTTGTGTGTGGATGTCCTAATGCATGGTGATTCTGCGATGACCCTCCACAGGGCGAGTGCTGGGGACAGCAGGAAGGTAACCTAGGCATTGCAGGAGGGCCAGTTTCTGTTACAGCATTAGACGCAGTTCTCCTCGAGTCATCTTGAAATGAAAAAATGCACAGATCAATTAAATGATCAAGTATCGCTGTGTAAAAAATATGTGTGTGTGCTTAGCTGCTCAGTCATGTCTGACTCTTCACAACCCCATGGACTGTAGTCCACCAGACTTTTCTGTCCATGGGATTCTCCAGGCAAGAATACTGGATGGAGTAAAGTAGCCATTCCCTTCTCCAGGGGATCTTCCTGACCCATGGACCAATCCGGGTCTCCTGCATTGCAGGCAGATTCTTTACCATCTGAGCAACCTTGTGTATAAATGTGAATAAATAGGTAAATAATAAGTGATTAGTGAATTCAAGTATCTGTAAATAATAATGTGATATAGTCACATTCTTAACATGTATATCCTGTAATTTTAGGCAGTGGTCTTCACTGGGATTTTCTTCCAAGCTTCAAGAGGCTTATATTAACCATGATGTTTAAATATGGCAATAAATCACCTTTTCCTAGGTCATGATAAATTATTTGTTTTTTTAAAATAAATTATTAGTTTTAAATTGTATTTTAAAAACTCCAAAGTATCATGGGAGTCCTTTCACTATATACAACAAATGCTCTTAATACTATAAATCATTCCTATATAATGAAGACTACTATGTCATACTTCTTAAAATCTTAACTTCTTAAAGATATAACCATCCAACTCAGAGCATATCTGGCTAAGTCTCACTAACGTCCAAAGTCTTTTCCCTTTCTCTGGTCTCTAAACTCAGACCCAATAGAACAAAAGAAATGATAAGATTCTACCTGGCTGAAAATTAAAAGTCTCTTGTAATAATTTTGTGACTCAAAGTTTAATAGTGGAATAAAAGAATGGAGTCAGATGGACTTAAATTCTAATCCTGAGCCTGTCTAATTTGAGTAATGTGACCTTAAGAAAGTTATCTAATCTTTCTCACCTATTAAATGTAGCAGTAACTATCCTGCATGGTTGTTCTTAGAAAAGACAATAATCTTCTAGGTACAAAACATCTGAGTCCTAACTACGCTCTGTCGCATGCCCAGAGTACTTTGAAGGTACATTCTCCCAGGCCAGAAGAAAAGCAGATGTGTCCCCAGAAGGTTTATCCTAGCGTTTCAAACTCCTCTAAGAAAAAGCACCCTTTCCTCAAACTACCTGTGTGCAAATTAAAAAAAGATCAAAATGGAGATACATTGTTTACTTAAAAATAGAGGAATAGAAAACCTAAAGCCTGTCCTCCCTTTCCCCCACATGACTCATGAGGCATCTCCTCAGAATTCTTAGGATTCTAGAGTACACCTGTGTTCCAGCCATATTTCTAGAGTAACCAATACCAGGGATACCCTATTCCTATTTGGCTCACAATACAAAGCTATTCTCTTATGGGTCAATGTACCAATTAGGAATCTTCAGGTTATTTACAAACAATACAAAAAATCCAACCAAAACTGGCTAAAACAATGAAGGGAATTTACAGACTCACATAAATGAATCTGGGTGGCTCTGACTGATGGGTGGGATTGCAGGAAACCTCCCTGTAATTCTCCAGGGTCTGCCCTCCTATACATGTCCTATCCTGCTGTTGCTGATTCTCTTCTGGGCAAACCTAAACTCTTCCTAAACCCTGTTAGGCAGTACCTCTATTCTAAATCTCTGAATATTGTTGTTTTCCCCCCTCAAGTTCCTATCCTGGCCTATTTGGGCTAATTTCCTGAGCCCTTTTGTATAGGTTCTTAACCTGAGAACTAGAATTCAGGAATCTGTAAACTCGGATAGAAAAGAATTACACTAATCTCTAATAGCCTCCTGGAATTAGTATTACCTTCTTATCATAAGTTGAGAGGTTAAAAATCACAAGTAATTTATAACAAAACCAAAAAAGATAAAAAGTCAACAAGTTGTTCACTTTTAAAACATAAGTGATAGCAGATTCAAAGTCAGTTTGGTAACTACATCCCTTTCATTCATTTGCATTTCAAATTTCTTGAGTAACCTGGATAGAATCACAGCTGGCATACTAGGAATTGACTATGATCAACAGCTATCTTAGTTATGCTGAATCAAAAGTAGCTATTTTCTATAGGCTATAATATTTATAGCAATATCATTATTATAGGATCTTCACTTCCTACAATATTTCTGAGGCTATATCTCAGTCCCCATGTCAAAATGTTACACAAGTAAATGTCATTTATTATGTGTTACTTCAGAAAAGAAAATAAAAGACCTTTAGGACACTAAATCCATTCAGTGGATGGACTAAATGACCTTCATGGTTCCTTCCAACTGTGACACATTAATTTTACAAATCCAAAAACTCTAAGACTCAGGAGATAAGTCTGTAACCAGAGCAAGAGACCTAGGGACTGCATGACCAAAGTGATAGATATGACATTTATCTGTTTAAAAATGACTTGCCCTCTTGGTCTTCAATTATTTCAAAAACAAAGGTCACAGTGAGAGAAGAGGAAGCACAATAACTATAATATCCTTAAGGCTGAATACATATTTAAGGGGTTAAATGATTAACAGTATGCCCCTCAAAAGAGGACTGACCTTATAGCTCTACTTCTTAGGGTACAGTTTTGACTTCCAATTAAATTAATATCTGTTTTCCTACAGTCCAGAAGCTCTCTGTTGCTCAAACAAGGTAGAAATCCAAAGTAAAGACAACTGAATCTCCTCTTGTTCAAGAGTTAATAACCAAAGAAATCTGCCAGAGCAGGGTGAAATACAAAGATATCTGATTAAGCAAATAAACCCTGCCTTTTTTTAAAATTAAAATTAGACTACTGAGTGTCCACTAAAAATAGACCATCACAAATCTACATCAGAGAAATCAACTCCATATCCCAGTGACATCAAGCTGGTTAAAGTACTTTTACTGTAATTCTAGGAAGATTACTGAAATGTACTCATGCATTTATTCATTTATTTGGCAAGTCTTACATATAATAATAACATGGCTAAGGATCTATAAAGGTACTGGAAAATACAACAGTAAAAAGGAAAGTCTTGACCATTAAAATAATTTAGGGATATTGTCTGCCTTTGTTGTTTTATCTCTAGCAACTAGAAACAAGCTACAATGTAGGCAGATCAATAAGCACTTGCTAAATTTAAGCTAACCTCGTAAGGGAAAAAAGGCATGCCTGCATGGGAGTAGCTTAGTGCTAAAAAAAGGAAGACTTGATCTTTTGTCCTCAAGGAGCTCATCATCAAGCACAGAGAGAAATTTAAAAAGAAACCAACCAGCACTGTAACAGAAGCTCTGGGTTCTAGCACAGTACGGAGCAACACTGCCCCCAAGGAGTACCCAGCAACAACCGGGGGTACTTCCAGCTGTCACACCTGCAGGGGAGGGGGCACTACGGGGTACTCAGTGCGGAGAAGCCAAGAATACTGCCAAATATCCTACAATGCACAGGAGAGCCTGCCTGCCCTTACAGGAACTGTCCAGCCCAAAGACAAGAGTACCAAGGCTGAGATATCCTGGCATAAAGAAGAACACAGGATTCAAGCTAGACTTTGTAGGTCTGAATTCTGGCTCTACTGTCATATAACCTTCACCTGCAAAATGAGAATAATCATAGAATCTGTCTTATAGGTTATTACAAAAGCCAGCGCTACTATAAAGAAATTATTAACCAATATTATGAGTTCCACAGGTGTTAGCTAGTATTATCTGCTACAATTGTTAGCTCTTTTTATATTGTGTTACCAGTGCCTAGAACTGTGCCTACTACATAGCATGCAATCAATAAATAGTTTGCTGAATAAATGAATACAAAAGATAAGTATGCATACGCTAGGAACATATTGAGAAATCACACAGATGATAAGCTGACTGGGGGCATGCTGAGTTTGAGGTGATTGCAGAATGGTCCAGAGGAGAGGAAGCTGGATACAAAAATTTAAAACAAGGAGAGCACTCTGGAAGCACAAAATGGTGAGTCATTGACTACTGGTGGCAAGTGAAAACACCTACAGTTATGAGATGGATCAGTGAAAACAGAGATGAGAATAGAGTTCTGGGAGAAAAGAAGATGAGGGGAAAATTTACTGCCAGATTTTTAAACACCATGTTTGTTTTAAAAGGAGTCAAAGTTAAAAGAAGGAGTTTAAGGTGAAGAAGATCCCTTAGGTGTACACAGAGTTAACACAAATGCACATGTACATGTATGAAAGGAATGAAACCAGCACAGATGCTTAACACACAGGCAAGATTAAAACAAGGTCAAGGACACAAAAAAGGATACAGAGCAAAGATAAAGAAACTGGAAGCTACAGGAAGGGAGTTAAGAGACCAGCAGTGAGGAGATATGGATAGGTATAAACATATAAAAGTTTTTTGGGTTTTTTTTTTACATACAAAAGTTTTTAATAAAGGGGCTGGAAGTTACACGTATTCATGCATGAGAACCTTCATTTATTTTTTTAATCCTCTTTCCACCCCCAGAAATAAGAGTCTTAAGAAAAATAAGACAATTTTGGAATAGACACTGAGGGGAAGGAAAGGGAAGGGAACTAACTGAGGTATATCATACTATCACAACTTATTACCAACAGCCCAAGATTTGATTTCATAAATTCAGGAGGCACCGATCTGCATGGTTCTATGATTTTTATCAGCCCCATTTAGAAACCTGGATAAGAAAGAAGCTAGATGGCTCAAGTGATTCAAGGTTGGACATATGCAAGAAGGTGCAAAGTAAAGACAGGATGTGAAGAAAATAGATAAATGATATTCTACAGTCCTGGAAGGAAATGAGCCAGCAGAACTGAATGCTCCTAATATAGTCTGACTATCTGTATGTGCTTTTATCAGATTTATACAGAGGAACAACTTGGTCTTGAACAAGATTCTCCTAGTCTAGAGAAATGTAACATGATTAAGTCTATCAAAAGGCCATCATAAAAAGATAGAATAAATATCATGGAGAAGGTCCACTCATACAATTATGTTACTACTTAATAGATTAAATGTGAATCCTAACTAAACAAGGGTGTTAAAAAATAAGTACATAAATAAAAGCACTGAGATAAAGTTTTCTTTAAATAAAGTTAGGACTGTTTCAAAGTTGTCTTTATTTCAAAGTTGTCTTGAAATAAAGTTGGGACTGTTTCACAAAACATCTAGATAAACATAAGGTACAGAATGCAACCAGGAGGGAGGAGCCAAGATGGCGGAGGACTAGGACGGGGAGACCACTTTCTCCCCTACAAATTCTTCGAAAGAACATTTGAACGCTGAGCAAATTTCACAAAACAACTTCTGATCGCTAGCAGAGGACATCAGGCGCCCAGAAAAGCAGCCCATTGTCTTCAAAGGGAGGTAGGACAAAATATAAAAGATAAAAAGGGAGTCAAAAGAGCTACGGACGGTGACCCGTCCCGGGAAGGGAGTCTTAATAGAGGAAGTTTCCAATCACCAGGAAACCCTCGCACTGGCGGGACTGGGGGAAGTTTTCGGCAATCTAACTGGGAGGAAAAATTAAATAAGGCCCACAGATTACGTGCCTAAAAGCAACTCCCAGCAGAAAAGTACCCCAGACGCCCGCACCCGCCAGCAACAAGTGGGGGCGGAACNTGCACTGGGAAGACCCAGAGGGATCGGGTGGAGAGGGAGGTGGGAGGGGGGACCGGGATGGGGAATACATGTAAATCCATGGCCAATTCATTTCAATGTATGACAAAAACCACTGCAATGTTGTAAAGTAATTAGCCTCCAACTAATAAAAATAAATGGAAAAATAAATAAATAAATAAGAAATCATTTCAAGCCAAAAAAAAAAAGAATGCAACCAGAAAAGCGTATGCAATCAATAAATGAAATAAAAACCCATTTCACTTCTGCCTACATTTTATTTTTCAAAAAATGCAGTATTTAAAAGATTCCCCTAGGAAACTTCCTTGTTTCCTCAAGGTTCACCTTTAGTTTCCAGGGAAGGGAGATCTAAACCAGACACAAGCCGTTTTCCAATCTGCTCAATGTTAAGTTATAAGGATAGAAGAATTAAACATATTATTAAAAGAAAAAAAAAACATATAAAATATACGGTGGTTTCATTATTAATGGTGATTACTATTATTACTGGTGATAGAGGCAATCTACAATCTATAGGGTCTATGATGTCTCTGTTAGTAAACAGCAAGTTCCTATCTCTGTGCCATCATTCAGAAGAGAAAAACGGCTAGTTTAAGACCTAGTCAAACAGCTGATAGGAAAGAACCAGAGATAGCACTGCTAACTGAAACTTAAGAGATAATCCATAAGCTAAAACTATAAAACTTGCTCTTTAAAAATTTTTATTGATATATAGTTGATTTACAATGTTGTATCAGTTTCAGGTATTAAGTGACTCAGTTATTTACATATATACATTCTTTTCTGGGGGGTGGAGTGGGTGGGCTTCCCTGGTGGCTCAGATGCCTGGAGAATTCCATGGACAGAGAAAGCCTGGTGGGCTACGGTCATGAGGTCACAAAGAGTTGGACATGACTGAGCGACTAACATTTTCACACATCACTTTCACACGTACTCTTTTTTTACATTCTGTTCCCTTATAGATTATTACAAGATACCGAGTATAGTTCCTCTGAGGTACACAATAGGTCCTTGTTGGTTATCTGCTTTATATATCAAAATGTGTATATTTTAATCCCAAACTCCTAGGGATGAAGGAGGAAACAACGTGTTGTTGCAAGAAGGAAACTGTTTTAGAACTAGTGAGAAGACCATCAGCTTCATACTGCACACAATCAGCACCAGCATATTACGTTAACTCCCCAGGGGGCCCTTCTTGCATTTATTTTTCCCTTTCTTTAAAACTATAAAACTCTTGAGACATAAGAGTAAATCTTTGAGACCTTGGACTAAGCAATAGCTTCTGAGACATGACACCAAAAAATAAACAATAAAATTGAGGAAATAGACATTGTCAAGCTTCTTAAAACTCCCACTCCTACGTTCAATTCTTTTGGATACATATTTAAGAGTCGATTTTTGGGTCTTATGGTAACTCCGTGCTTAACTTTTTAAGGAACCATCAGAGTGTCTTCTACCATTTTAAACTCCTACCAGATGTTAATAAAGCTTCCAATTTCTCAATATCCTTATTAGCACCGGTCATCTTCTGATTTCCTGTTTCTTGCCTTTGTTTTGTTCAATTATAGGCATCCCGGTAGGAGTAAAGTGGAATTTCATTCTGGTTTTGATTTGCATTTCCCTAATGACTAATGTTTTCATGTGCTTTTTGGTCACTTATATAAATGACCTTCTTCTTTGGAAAAATGACTATGTACATTCTTTGCCCATTTAAAAACTGGGTGGTGGTTCTTTTTACTGTTAAGCTGTGCAAGTTCTTTGCAATTCTGGATACCAGACCCCTCTCAAATATATGATTTTCAAATATTTTCTCCCATTCTGTAGGCTATCTTTTCACTTTCTTATAATTACCCTCAATGTACAATAATTTTAAATTTTGATCAAGTCCTATTCATTTTTATCTTTTGTTAACTGTATTTTTGGTGTCAGCCATTCAATTCTCCCCCATCTCTTTCAGTTGAGCTATAATAGTCTGGTAACAGCACACAGGAACTCAAATATGAAGTCATAGTCTAATTCTAATAGAGACCACTTTGTTAACATATGATGTTTATTCTAAGAATATACTCTTGCTAACATGGCTAAAATCTTAATAACAACCATTCTTTTTCTAACAAACAGTCCTTCCCCGCCCCTTTTTATTTTTTAAACATACCTCCTGTAGAAGTACCAGTCATACTATTGCTTGTGAGAGTAGTTGAAGTCTCTGACACTGTGGAGGGTTGGCTACTAGTGACAGCTGAAGCAGTATCAGAGGCCTGCTCAGAGGTAGATGGATTTGAATTGTTAATGGAAGCGCTTGTGGTTTGTGATTCCATTCTCGCAGAAGTGGTTGGTACTACAGTAGGTTCTACAAAATACAAAATGTTTATTTAGCATTTCAAAACAGGGCAACGCGTTATATTTTAATAAAAGCTAATATTTTTATAGCTATTAAACTTAAAATGTGAACCCTCTGATAAGTACAATATACAGTTTAAAAAGAAAAGTTTTCGTAAAGTTAAATCAACATTAAAACGAAACGTTACTGTATTTTTAAACATATATGTGCAAACTCCAATAATCCAAAGGACTAACACAGTTTGTTTTGGTAAGGACCATGTAAGTTTTCTGATCACAGAGAGGTAAAGTAAAAGTCCCTCTGCTATGTTCACACACATTGTCACAGCACACAAATTGTACTTTCTCTGGTACCTATGGATTTTAGAGTCACACGGTTTGGATAGAAATTCTGATTTCACCACTGACAGATTGATCTAGGAGAAATTACTTAACTACTCTCCATTTCCTCGTCTATAGAACCAGTAAAGTACAAAATTTTCTTCATAGAACTGTTGTTAGGATGAACAGAGATCACACATATGAAGCACTTATATATGATCCTTTACAAATGGAAGTCATTTAATAAACATTAGCTGTGATTTTTAATATATTTTAATTTTTTACATGTCTTTTTGTATGTTTTCCCCCAATTTTTTGCAAATATTTTTATCAGTGCTTTCTAATAAAAATGAAAGTTTCTGTAGTAGAAATTAAAAGAAATTTCAGGTAGACCTTAACTTATGAATGGGTTCTATTTTAGACTCTAATTATTAAATGACTTTAATAATTAATAATGGGAATAAATCTGTCCAAAGCATAGTCACAATAATTAGACTTATAAAGAAGATATTTAAAAGTGATACAGAATAGAATGAGAAGACAACCATTCTATACAATGCAGTACAGGAGACTGCTCACTGAAAAACAAATAGTGCCTGTTAGTCTATACGGAAACCTATACTTCAGATGCTTAAAGAAATATATTTGCCTAAACTTAAAAGGGAGAGGAAGGAACTTCTGTTTATTTGCCAATAGTTTATCTCAGTTTCTCAGTCAGAGGTATTGACTTTTTTGGCTGAATAATTCTAGATTGGAGGTGGTGGCTTAGAGGTGGGCTATCCTTTGCATCATAAGATGTTTAGCAGCACCCCTGGCCTCCATCCATTAGATGTTAGTAGCACTCTCCCTCCACTCTGAGAATCAAAAGTGTGCAGATACTGCCAAAGGTCTCCAGGCACAAAAAACGGCCACTAGGTAAGAACCACTGTTCTAACTAAACTTATGTTTTAGATTTATTTTTAGTAAGATGGAAGCCTTCCACTGAGAGAAGGGAGTCTATCTACTAATCACTGCAATACTTTTAACATAAAAGTATTCTGTTTGAACTAAATTCAAGTGGATTAAAAAGTTACTTAGATGGCAGGTGTCACATAGGAAAACACAAAAAGTTTCCAAAAGAGTCATCGATATTTAATTGGATAATCTTTAATAAATCCCTATTATATTAACCACTTCTTACAGATGATTTATGGTAGTTCCAAAATAAAAACCAAGACATTGTTAACTGAAATGCAGACAATGAGCATAAATTCTCTCTTCATAAACATGTTAACTCCAAAGTATTGGTACTCTGAAAGTTATGATCATCCAAACTGCCAACAGCCAATATTAGAGTTGATTGCACAAGGCCCCTAACTCTTCTGACCTAACAAATGTATTCTTTATCTAATTTATAGCTAACTGCCAAAACTAATGGACTTCCTTTGTGGCTCAGATGGTAAAGAATCCAATCCATATATGGCTTACCAAGTATTAAGGACATTATGATTGAGGGCTTCTTTTTAATTTATTTTTTATTGGAGTATGGTTGCTTTACAATATTGTATTAGCTTCTACTGTACAGCAAAATGAATCAGCCATACATATACATATATCTCCTCCCTTCTGGACTTCCTTTCCATTCAGGTTACCACAGTTCATTAAGCAGAGTTGCCGACCATTTCCTTCTAAGATGTAACTATCAGTATCTGAAGATAATTCTCAATTTGAGGGAAAATTCACAAATGTATTCATATATTCATACTTGCTTACCACATTTCCTAACCTCTGCTTTCCAACTCTAGCATTGTTTCCTCAGTTACTTGGGTATAGCTGTATGTAAGCCAAAGAAGTGACGTGTAAGTCTTAGTCGCTCAGTCATATCCAACTCTTTGCAACCCCATGGTCTGTCCATGGAATTCTCTAGGCAAGAACACTGGAGTGGGTTGCCATTCCCTTCTCCAGGGGATCTTCCTGACCCAGGGATTGAACAGGGTCTAATGCATTGCAGGCAGGTATTTTACCATCTGAGCTATAGAAGCCCTGTAAGCCAAAACGAAACACTAAAGCTAAGCAGCACATAAACTAACCATATTACACTAAAAGATAACGTAACTTATAAAAGCAAATTCAACATCTCAAATAACTAGTATTAACCATTTAAACTCAGTTACACTGCTTTTCTGTTCTGTATTTTAAAACTGTTGTTTCTATTTTTCATAGTAAAGTTAAAGTATAACAGCAATATTACAAATGAAAATAACACATAAGTCTGAGGATAGATCAAACTACCACTTGTAAAAATAATTTTTTTCTAAGAAAACAACTACCAAACAGTGAAACAATAACCAGAAAGAACTTTTAGACACAACTTACAAACTGGAGTTATATTATCAATTGAAAAATAACATTAGGATATCTGCCAACTTCTCTGTAATTTAATAATATATTATTGACATATTATTATTACCAATAATAAGAAGCAATAAGGTTTCTAACATATTAAGATATTTCATTTTACTAAATTGTCTTCATAATTTCACACTGCTAGCATTCCAACTTACCATCTTCATCAACAGTAAGGTCCACGACTTCTGCTGCATTCTGCCTCAAGGGCTGTATAACAGTAGACATTCTATTGCGGTTCCGTGGCTCCTGTGGTCGACTTGCATGAGAACTTGAACCTTGGCTCCAGTGAGATCTATTGTGTCCAAGGGTTGACCGAGACCTAAATAACAAAATTTTTAGTCACCTAAGAAATCATAAGCCTTTCTTACAAAACAAGTTGTGAAATTCTTCATGCAAGAATTCTCCAGAAAGATAATCACAACAGAATTTAAAATTATCACTAGCATAATGCCGAGCACTCAATAAACATCTGTTGAATTAAATATTTAATAAATGTTCACCAACCAACTGACCTAAGAAAATGAAAAATATGCTAGGCCTATCATTGGTGTAAAATATAGGATTCTGTTTCAAGAGTGCGGCTCTCTTTTCAAGGTGTACTTTGAATAGTCACCTGGGTTATAATCAATCATTTACATTTTATGTTAATACCTAAACTTATTCACCATAGATATAGTAACAAAAATATCAACACCCTAAACATTTAATAACATTCATACGATCTTCAGCGTTGGGAGCCCAGAACCAAGTTGTTTCTGGGACTGTCCTAAAAGAGATTTGAAGTACGAGAGATTTCTTGCTATCAGGAGAAGTAAGGATAGTTGTAGCTAGTTTACTGCAGCTAACTATACTTTGGCAGCTATACATAACATCATTGTTTGGGCCACTTTATGCTTTAAAGGAATATAACTACAAACCCTCAACACTGAACGCCTTTTACCATCTTTTAATTATGTGTATTGTACTAAATTACTTACAGGCATATATTTTATTTTTAAAAACTTGTAAAGAATTCACTGTAATGACCTGGATTAAAGGTACAGAGAGATGGTATATAGAATATGCAGTTCTCAGGAACCAAGGAGAAAAAAATAAATGTTTTAGGAAGATGGGGTTTGCTACAAAGTTGGTTTTTCCTCCTGCCCAAAATGAATATAAAACTGCCTATATCAAGGGTGGGATATTCTGAGAGAACAGCATTGAAACAAGTATACTATCAAGGGTTAAACAGATCACAAGCCCAGGTTGGATGCATGAGACAAGTGCTCAGGGCTAGTGCACTGGGAAGACCCAGAGGGATGGAATGGGGAGGGAGGTGGGAAGGGGGATCAGGATGGGGAACACATGTAAACCCATGGCTGATTCATGTCAATGTATGGCAAAAACCACTACAATACTGTAAAGTAATTAGCCTCCAACTAATAAAAATAAATGAAAAAAAAAAAACCTGCCTATATGCTTATATGTATGTATGTCAGCATGTATGGAAAAAAGTGAGCCAGATCCACTAACATGTAGTCATCTGCATACGAAATTGATCACTCAAAGTTCATACAGAGAAGTTCAGAGAACTCCAAAGTTCAAACTGAGCTGAAAATGGCCTCAGCAATCATAGAGTCTAGAAGTTTAGAAAGAACTTCAAATTGTAAATTAAATTTTCAAGTAATAGGACTATAGAGGTTAAATCCTGAGAAACAGATTAAAAAAAGAAAAAGAAAAAAAGACAGTTTATTCCAGCAAGAATTGTACATATTAAGGCATGAGGATAAACAAATGCTTCAAGATAAAATAGTTTTAGATAAGGAGAACAATCACCATTTAAAATTCCTGAGAAACCAAGAGTCTTTGATGAAACTGAGCAGCCTATTATTTCTGAGAAACTGTTAACAGCTGAAGAAACTTCCAGGTCATTGCAGTACTTTGGTGAAAACTTCACAGGATGTACCAACTCCAAATATAATGTTTAGTGAAGTACCAGCAAAAATCCTGATATATAAGGAACAGTTTCAAAGAGGCCTTAGTGGCAATTGTCAAATCCTGACACAAGGAGATCTGAAATATGGATACATTCTCTCTTAGAGGAGGGGCGAGGAGCCAGTTGAAGTGACAAAGTTATGTTCTAGGTAACCAGAAGGAAAATAAACATGAGTAATGAGCTTATATGTCTTTTTCAAGAGCACTGTCTACCACTATGTAAATGCATTTGCTTGAGTATTTAAACATCTGCATGGTAAGAAAGCTCTCCAATTCCATGAAAAAACAGGTTCTTAGTTTCAATAATCATTATAGCTCACAAAAACCAAGTTAATGTTGTATCAAGCAATATGGGCAGTCACAGGTATCTATGGCATATACCATGAAGTATCAATTTTCCTTCAAGTATGGGAAAAACATTTAAATTTAAACAAGGATATGTTATAGAGTGCTCTCTTCCATGCCATTAGAGCAGTACCCAATGAGAAAGTGTTAAGCAAAGAAGCATGTTCTAGATATGACTGTAACATGAACTTTTTTTTTCAATCAATAATATTAAAATACAATAAGCAAATGCATTTCTAAACTCATTCCAACACAAAAATTAAGGTTCATCCACAGATTAGTTTCGTGCATGAAATGAAAGAGAGGAGTAGTTCACTGCTTCCTTTATCAGTATTTGTAACCATCTAAAGCCCAAAATGAATACAGTATTAGGGTCTCTCTCTCTCTCTCTTTTTTGGTCAAAGTGACTCTCAAAAGGACAATGTCATTTCAATTATTTATCAAAACAAACAAGGATATCCCATTCATTTTTCACTACAGAGCTTATAACAAATTACTGAGTGAAGGACAAAAAATTTTTAAAAGAGGTTTTATACAAAGTTGTCCTAATCTAAAAGCATAAATATCACTGGTATCAATGAGAAACCAGGAGTTTGTGAACTCTGAATCATAAAACAAACTCAATTTTATAAAACACCAAGTAAAAATCAATATTTATCTAGAGCAATGACTCAGCTCTCATTGTATACTTGGGGTGCTTAAAAAATACTGAATCCTAAGATTCTGGTTCAACTGGTCTGGGCCATGATCCAGCAACAATATGTATTTTATAATCTTCCCAGATGAATCTAACTCGGCCTGGTTTAACAACCTGGTTTAATCCTCAAACTAGGTTTTTTAAAAATAAAGTAAAACAATACAAATGTGTCTAAATATTTATACTTAAAACTTCAAATATACAACTAGGAATTAAAATCTTACCGATAGCTTTCCCCAACTGTTACTATCTCCACTTCACTGTCAGTTGAGGTAACATTAATTTCTTCATTGGCAGTGATCTGGGGAGTGGAGGAAGCTTCTATCACCACGACATCTTCATCAATATTTCCTAGAAAGAAGAAAATATATTTGAAGGGTATATGAGATAAACAAAGTCCTACTGTACAGCACAGAGAACTATATTCAGTGTTCTGTGATAAGTCATAATGCAGAAGAATAAAAAAAAAAGGATGTATATACATGTGTAATGTTATCAACTTGCCAAACAGAAGAAATGAACACAACATTGTAAATACTTCAATTTAAAAAATTAAGGGCATATGCCTATCAGCTAACTTATAGACAAAAAATTTTGACAGAAACTAGTCACAAAAGTAAAACTCTTATCTGTCAAAGTTTTTAAAGCCAGAGTTCACTACATATAGTGAAAAGTTACTTACTCTTTTTTTTAATTTTTATTATTTATTCTTGGTTATGCGGGGTCTTCACTGATGTGTGTAGGCTTTCTCTAGTTGCAGCAAGCAGGGACTACCCTCTAGTTGCAGTACACAGGCTTCTCATTGTGGTGGCTTTCTTCTTGCAGAGCACAGGCCTCTAGGACACGCAGGCTTCAGGAACTGTGGCATGTGGGCTCTAGAGTGCCTGCTCAGCAGTTGCAGAGCACAGGCTTATTTGCCCTGAGGCATGTGGGATCGTCCCAGACCAGAGATCGAACCCCTTGCACTGGCAAGCGGTTTTTTAACCAATGGGTCACTAGAGAATTCCCAGTACTTACTTACTTAATCTGTACATATTTATTTTTAATTCTTATGATTTTTGTTTGTGCTTTACAAACTTTCAGTAGTTCCCATATGAATTTGCATAATCATATAAGGACATTAACACTGTAATATTTGGAAGTAGTCATTTAAGATCTTATGTAAGATATTCACATTCTGTAAGATATTAACCCTTTAACATATAAAATGAAGACACTACACTCTCTGCACACTTTCTTCAGGGTTGTTTTTATTTGTGTGATATGGTATTTTTTAAGAAATACAGTGACTTTTTAGTTTTATGCTACAAAATCTTTAATTTTTCTGTACACAATCTTTTCTAAAGTATTCTAAGTTTGGAAAATGCTTCCTTATCTAGAAGACATTATATTGGGTTCAATGTGTTTCCTTAGTATTTACTTCACCTAGAACTAATTTTTACTTCCAGCATTAGATAAGATTATTACTAGAATTTGGCCCTGCTAAATGAAATAATGTAGTCGCACACATGCACACACACATACACACTCACAAAAACATTGTATGATTTCGCTTATGGGTGACTATCTAAAGTAGTCAAATTCACAGATAAAGTTGAATGGTGGTTACCAGGACTGAGAGGGGTGGAGAAGGAAAAGGAGCTGTTAAGTGGAGAAGGAAAAGGGAGCTGTTAATCGGGTATGGAGTTTCAGATTGCAAGAAGAAAAAGTTCCAGAGATCCATTTCACAACAATGTGAATATTCTTAAAACTACTGAACTGCACCCTTTAAACTGGTTACGACGGTTAAACAAAAATAAGATAAAAGTTACGCTCCATTTCTTCTCTTGCTATATTTTCCACAAATCTAGGGCTAAACTATCTTTTTTAAAATAGTCTTTTCTCTTCATTACTACCACCTGTCTAAAGGGCAGCCAACAATTTCTAAGATATGCTTGAGATAAGAATTTTCCAATAAAAATGATATTGAGAGCTTAAAATTTCATCCACTTTAAGTGTACATTTCACTGACTTTAGTACATTCATGAAGCATAACCATCACCTCAGTTCAGTTTAAAAATATTTCCAATACCCTAAAAAGATCCCACGAGCCCTATTTCAGTCACTCCCCATCCCTCTATCTGCATCCCTACACCCCTACAACATGGAGAAGGAAATGGCAACCCACTCCACTATTCTTGCCTGGGAAATCCCATGGACAGAGGAGCCTGGTGGGCTACGGTCCATGGGGTCGCAAGAGTCGGACACGACTGAGCGTGTGTCCGACTGAACCACCCCTACAACAACTAACCTGCTTTCTGTCATTATGGATTGATTTGTATTTTCAAAAGCTCAATATAAATTGAGTGATACATTATAGACACTTTCATATCTGGCTTATTTCGCTAAGCATACTTATTTTGTGATTTATTCATTTTTCTGGCATATCAATAGTTCATTCATTTTTACTGCTGAGTAAGTATCCTATCATATGAATATATCACAGTTTATCCATTCTTCTGTTATTGATGGACACCTAAATTTTTCTCACTTTTGACTATTATAAATAAATGTATGTACTTCATGTATACATGTGATTTCATTTTTCTTGGGTAAATTCCTAGGAATGCAATTTCTAAATACTATCATAAATTTATGTTTAGCATTTTAATGAAGTGCCAAATTGTTTTCCTAAGTGACTGTTCAATTTCACATTCTTGCCAGGAAAATGAAGGCTCCAATTTGTCTACATCTTTGCCATGAATTATTATTGTCTCTTTTTTATTATAACTGTTCTAGTGCATATATTGGAGACGGAAATGGCAACCCACTCCAGTGTCCTTGCCTTGAGAATCCCAGGGACAGGGGAGCCTGGTGGGCTGTCGTCTATGGGGTCGCACAGTCGGACACGACTGAAGGGACTCAGCAGAAGCAGCAGCAGTGCATATATAGTAGTATCTTATTGTGGTTTAATTTTCATTTCTATAGTAACTAATAGTGTTGAGCATTTTTTTCAAATGCTTATTAGCCACTGTGCCAAAATATCTATTCAGATTTTTCGTTCATGTTTAACTTGGACTTTGGTGTTGAATTATAAAAGCTCTTATATATTCATTTTCTTAATGGTGTCTTATGAAGCATAGAAGTCTTTCATTTTAAGATGGTACCAAAGAATTTATTTGCAGGGCAGCAATGGAGAAACAGACATAGAGAACAGACGTACAGACATGGGGAGAAGGGAGGAGAGGGTTAGGATGTATGGAGAGAGTAACATGGAAACTTACATTACCATATGCACAACAGATAGTCAACAGAAACTTGCTGTATGTCTCAGGAAACTCAACCAGGGGCTCAGTATCAACCTAGAGGGGTGGGGTGGGGAGGGAGATGCGAGGGAGGTTCAAGACGGAGGGGATATACCTATAGCTATAGCTAATTTATGTTGAGGGTTGACAGAAAACAACAAAATTCTGTAAAGCAATTACCCTTCAATTAAAATAAACAAAATTAAAAAGAAAAGAAGTCTTTCATTTTGACGAAATGCCAAGTCAGCAATTACTTTAATGGATCACGTTTTTGGTGACTCTTTAAACCTCTACAAAACCAACAATGACTGAGAATTTGTACGTTTCTTTAGCAATTGTGTAATTTAGCTCTTAACATTTATGTCTGTGATCTATTTTGTTAATCTCTGTGTCTGACATGATATAAAAGGTCTAAATTCACCTTCTGAGCATGTAGATCTATAATTGTGGGTTGAAAGGACTAAAATAATTCTATTTTGATACCTAGTACATTCAGGTTTTCTTAATTATTCTTCAGGATTATAAATCAAGGGGAGAGAAAAATTCCTGAGATTTGGACTGGAGTGGTGGCATTAGACATCACTTTAAAAGCCCTGATATCTATAAAACATATATACTTCCATCCAAGATCATATCTTGTCATCTACCAATATCATATCTATAAACCCCTAAAAAAAAAACAGAGAATATGGTTTGATTGTAAATGTAATTCTATAGTTACATAATTTTCTTCAGAGAAGCCGAATGTACTTCAATTGAGATTATTCTTAGACACTTTATTCTCTTTGCTGCTTTTGTAAACATGTTACCTTTTTCTCATTGTATTTTCTACTAGTATGTTGGCATTCCACTGATAGCGTATATTCAATTTTATCCAGTTCTGATAGAACGCTTGCTTACCACATGATAACAAATGGCTCAACTTTTTTCTCAGTGTGGAGTTTACACAGTCTACATTCCTTCACCTGAGGCACCATTCCTAGACATCCTGGAATTTCATTTGTAATACAGCTCTATCATCAAATATCTGCACTACTTCAAAAGCTGGCCAGTATTTGGAGGAGGTTACATGTCCATGATTAGATATATAACATGTTCTCTGATACTGATACTCCAAAGAGGATAATAAGGCATGCACTAGTAAAGCATAGAGGCAATGAAAGATGTTATGATTGGAGAAATAGTTATTTTAAAAATATCCCATAACATTTCTATTTTGGAATACTTATAAATTGTTCTATCCTTGAAATAGAAAAAAAAAATTAAGATTTAAAAACTATGAGATGTGCAAAATTTTAAAGTAGTTTCTAAGTTCTAAAGACTACACACATAGACATGTTCAAGTCAAATGTTTTTTTGTTTGTTTCTCATTTGCTTGTTTTGTTTTTACATATGGGAAACCAGGAGATGCCTTCTCATTTTTTTTCTTTTTAATTGTTTTTAATTTATTTACTTAGCTACACCAGGTCTTAGGTGCAGCATGCAGGATCCTTTATTTGCAGCATGTCGGATATAGTTCCCTGACCAGGGATCAAACCCAGGCCCCCTGCATTGCTAAGGCATAGTCTTACAGCCACTGGACCAACAGGGAAGTCCCTAAATGTATTTTTAACATCATAATTTTAATTTTAACAACAAAACTGCAGCACTTAAGTGTCTACTTAAAGTAATATTCTCAATTCAATTTCCCAAATTACTTTTCTAATTCTTCATATCTCATACATGATACAGATTAAAAGCTCCCAGCAGTCATATATTTAGAACTAAAAGTATTATATATAAAAATAAAACACCATGGATTAAATAAAAAAAAAAAACCTCCCTTATTTTAACCTATCAAGTAGACATTACCATTTTACATGGAGAAAAACTACATCTGCAAATCAACTTTATTGGTGATTTCCCTCCATGGTATGTATATATGAAATTTCTTTACAAGTCTGTAAAGAAATCACCTAACGCTGTTGTTCAGGCACTAAGTTGTGTCCCACTCTTTGTGACCCCATGGACTGCAGCCTGACAGGTAATACTAAACACCTTTCACATAGTTAAGCAAAGTCAAACATC